TCTGGCCAATCCATATATGGGTAAAAGGGCGGGCTTTGTGTGAGACTGAACCGGCCGGTGGACGCGCCTCTTCAGCCAAGCAGCCTCAGCTATCTGTAACATTACAAGATCGACTGGCAGACTAGGCTACTTTTTACAGTCAGTATCATTCTTATGTTGAAACTCCTTTTCCTCGATTTACTGAAGCCTATATGTAAAACGCATTTGCAGCTGCATAGCTCGCTCATAGGCTGTGCTGCGGCAACTGCACATCCAATGGCGCGGGCGCCTCTGACGTGCGACCAACTAGCTCGCAGATCAGTCTATTCTTATGTTACATTTATTCATTTGGCAGACGCATTTTGGCAGACGCTAACTTATCTGAGGCGATTTAATGCTAACGGTTGCAGTGCCACTGCCCACAAACATTGATGCTAAATAGTGCTAACTACGTGAAATAGTAGTGGAATGTCACTTACCGGAAAAAAAGGAGCGAAGTACTAGTCCTACAGTGTTGGTTAGTGCAGTTTATAGCAGAGCAACCCATGTAATGTACGATATTTCAATACAAATGTTCAGAAAGGATACAGAGGTGGTATGATGTGTTGTGCCAGATCATGGCCGAGACGTCAAATTTCAGGAATTCAACTCGGCGCAGCACGTTATCTAAACTAACGAGTTGGAAAAAAATTCACCCCCCTCACAGTTGTCAGGCACTCGGAACCTATCGAAAAATACAATAAAAGTCCATGGGACCAACCTGTAAAAACATGAATTTATGCTATGAAAACGGACATTTTAACATGCGGTCTATGGATATTTGCTCCCTTTTGGGACCTCCCTCTAGCGGATTTTCGATGTATTGCAGTTTTTCGCACTTCCGGGTAGGCTTCATTTTTCAGATTAGAATGTTGCCGCTTGGGTGAGCCTCATATGGCAGAGGTTCGGCCGAGCGGAAGTGGATTTGTTTGCTTCGAGCATGACTACGCACTGCCCGCTCTGGATTTCCCTGTCGCCTCCATCGCTCTGGCTCAAGAGTGGCCCAGGACCAGACTTTTTGCCTTCCCACCGATTCATTACTCTCAGTGGTGCTGCTTAGAGTACGAACTGACAAAGTAAGACATCGGTTGTTGGTGGCCCCGTTCTGGCCCACTCAGATATGGTTTTCAGACCTGGTCAGTCTGTTAGTCGGCCCTCCTTGGGAGGTTCACCTGAGACCAGACCTGCTGACTCAGGCAGGTCTGGTCTCATGATTTGGCACCCCGTCCGGATTTATGGAGGCTGTGGGTGTGGCCCCTGAGCAGGGCGCGTTAATGTTGTCTGGTCTCTCCGCTGAGATTACAGATACTATTCTTAACTCTAGGGCCCCCTACACAGGGACCTGTATGCTTTTAAGTGAAGGCTGTTTTGCCCAGTTCATTGCTCTGTCGGTTTAATACTGGAGTTCTTGCAGAGTTGCTTTTCGGCAGGGACAGTCTCAGCCACTCTTAAGGTTAATGTGGCAGCTATATCTGCTGAACATGTGCCTATGGGAGGTGTTTCTGTTGGAGGTCACCCCCTGGTCTCCCGTTTTCTGCAAAGGATGAGACGGCTTAGGACTTTCCGTGTAAGAATTCCCACATAGGATCTTTCTATCGTCCTGGAGGGATTAACAGGTGACCCCTTTGAGCCATTGGAGTCTGTGTCAGAAAAGTTATTGACCCTTAAGAAAGTTCTTCTAGTTGCTTTATCCTCCCTTAAGAGAATTGGGGATCTACAGGTTCTTTCAATCAGCCCTTCTTGTATGGATTTTGCCCCGGGATTGGTTAAAGTCTTGTTGCGACCTAGGCCAGGTTATGTTCCTAAGGTTGCCTCGACCCCTTTTCGTTCCCAGCAATTGTTCCTGGAGGCTTTTTCCCCTCCTGACTCAGAGACTGGGAGTGATGTGCGGCCTCTTGGCCTCTGCCCGGTAAGGGCGTTGAAGATCTATGTCAACCGTGCATCCCAGTGAGGGGACCCAGTGTAATGGCTAAAAGGCGTTTACTGTACATTTAATTAATCATTAATTACTAGCTTATTTTTGCTTATTCATCGCATGAACGTGGATCCTTCAAATGTTTAATAAATTGTAAATAATGGCTAATATGTCCTAACTATATGTTAAGTTAATCATTCATTACTAGTTTGTTCGTGCTTAACTAATGCATAATTCTGGACCCTTAAAACGAAGTGTTACCCTGAAGGGGACTGAGCAGTAGATATGTCCCCTCAATTATTCTTGTGGAGTTTTTAACAAAGTTGAAACTTTTTCGTTTTTAATTCCACTCATGGAAACTAATGGGGGAAAAGCATTTACTGTATATGAATTTTGTTAAAAGTTCTGTTTTATTTTAGCTGTAAAGTTTTGGTAATTTTTTTTTATGTTAGATTTACAGAAATGCAGAGCCTAACCATTAAAGAGATGTATGTGCTATTCAGGCATTTAATGTTGCTTGTGTGAATGCTCTGAATGTGTTTATTTACTCTTTGAAAAATGCTGTCTGTTCAGCTGTCATGTTTCTGCAAAGTTCTGCTTATCATTGTGAAAGCTAAATGCAGCAGACACAAGAATATTCCGCATTGAGCAATATCAATTCCAAATGACAAAAAACCCATTGATTTCCCAGTGAAGATTCTATAGCCAGGCACACACAATGCACAAGAGAATGTACACAACTCTGTTCATTCGACACACTCATACGTCATCCTCCCATTTGCTTCTAGCCAGTCACGTCCCTCACAATGTCAACGGAGAGCTTGTTCAGTTAGAAAGCAGACTGCAAAGTGAAGGAGAGGGGAGCTCTGCCAGCTTATGCTTTGAGCAATCACTTGAGGATGCGTCAGTGTGATAATAATCCATTATGACAGAGAGTAGCTCCATCTCCGATCAGAGCATAGCTCCATCTCCGATCAGAGCATGGCAGAGACCCCCAAAGCCCTGATGTGGATGACTCACCTTCACCTGAGCGGGGCCACAGACAGATGTGCCAGACAGATCACAGTGACCAGCTGATTACCTCCGAACGCCTCTTAACAAAAGTGGACTCAAAATTCTGACTGGGTGAACAAGAAACTGTTATAAAACACTTATACTAGTGGTCAAAAGTTTGTAATAATTATGATTTTTTTTCATAAATCCCGACCCGACCCGACCCATCCCGCTAAATTTTAGATCTCGTTTCCAGAATCTCACATTTAAATTTCCCCTAAAGAAAGAGAGCATGATTGGGGATAACATTACCAAATATAAAATGTTTGCTTTACAAGAATTGTATTTGTTATTTTGGTCTTATCATGTATGTAAAAAAAAAAAAAAAAAAAATGTCACAGAGAAAAAATTTAAATTAAATGTGACATTTGTCACTTAAAATTATAAGCTAAAAATATGAATAAACGAAAACTGTTGGCTTACTAGCTACAGTATACTGCAAAATAAAAATGTGCCTGCTGTAAAAGTTAAGTCCACCTAATACAGTAATCAACATTTGAAGTGGATCAAAACCTTTCTAGTCCAGGCAAAGTAACTCATTTTGGAGCCAAAAATAGATTTAATTGTAAAAAGAATTTTTTTCAGCATAGATCATTTCTATGAGGTGTCCAGAACAACAAGTTAGAAAGTCCTAAGAAATCCTAGTTGAGGAAATTTGTTTAATTCTCATCAATCCGAGATGTGTGCCAGTAAGGCCAGACAACAATATACCCCAATGGGGCTATTTTTTTTCCTTTCCTCCTATCAAAATAAAACTTTATACAATGAAAGTATCCATGAAAAGTAACAAATTTTGTATTACAAGTTTCTTTGAAAATGAATTTTATTATGCAAATGAGCTATACACTAATCGAATATGCTCAAAATACACCCAAATAGGCTTATTTTTTCCTTTACTCCTACCACAATAAAACTTTACACAATGAAAGTCTACAAGAAAAGTAAAAGATTTTGTATTAGAAGTTTCTTTGAAAATGAATTTGAATATGCAAATGAGCAATATACTAATCGAATATGCCCAAAATACACCCTAATGGGCTTATTTTTTCCTTTACTCCTATCACAATCACACAGTGAAAGTATACATGAAAAGTAACATTTTTGCAAATTAGGACATATTCAATAAGTGTGGAGCTCACGTGCATATTCAAATTCATTTCAAAAGAAACTTGTAATACAAAAAAAGTTACTTTTCATGTATACTTGTACTTTTTAAAGTTTTATTGTGGTAGGAATAAAGGAAACAATTAAGCCTATTTGGATGTATTTTAGGCATATTCGATTAGTGTATAGCTCATTTGCATATTAAAATTCATTTTCAAAGAAACCTGTAATACAAAAAAATTGACTTTTCATGGGTTTCATTATGTAAAGATTCATTTTTCCTCAACTAGGATTTCTTAGGACTTTTAGTATGTTGTTCTGGACACCTTATAGAAATGATCTATGCTGCAACAAATTATTGTACAATTAGTCTCTCGTAAAACGCTACTTTGCCTGGACTATTCATTAAACATGAATTTTGAACAATACCCATTCTTGTTTTAGGACAACTTTGATGTACTTTTTTGATCCACTTGAAATGTTGACTACTGTATAAAGTGTGATTGTAGGCCACTGGGTCTTTGAAAGAAAGAGTGGAAATAATAACAATCTTATTTCCATGCAATAAGACATCAATTTCATGAGGTTAATCAGCAGGTACACCAATGGATGTATTGACATGCTGGGTAATAAAGTACTGGCTGTTATGTGTCATTGCCAGACTGTAGTTGAAATGTTTAGTTGTTTCGTGTGCGCTAAAACAGCAGGCCCTGCAGTTTTTCATTGTCAAGCAGAGGGCTGTGGAATCGTATCATTGTGATCATAGACTTCTGGAAACAAAAGCAGAGCTCAAAAGATCATTCAACACAGCAAAGCCCTCGACAATGATGGTGCTGGCCTTGTGCACACAGGACTCCTCTGGAAGAATCCATACGGCACACCATGTGAAACACTGGGATGAAAAGTTTTTAAGCTATTTGGCCCCGTGGCCCGAACGGACAGAGTTTAGTCTAGCATGAGACAGCAGAGGGTGAGCACCCTAGTTTTCACACACTAAAGGTGCTGAGGGGTAAAGCACTTAGTTTAAGATCGCAAACAATGATGAAGTCCAGCTATCGGCATGAGGTACGCAAGAAGTACGAGCGCTCCGATGTGTACGAGGAGCCCAGCAGCCCAGAGACGGAGTCGGCTCCGGCCGTCCCGGGATGGCAGAACCTGCAGGAGCTGAACAGCCGTTTCGCGCGTTACATCAACCGCGCGCGCGTCCTGGAGCAACGCAACGCCGTGTTTCGCAAACAGCTGGAGACTCTGCAGCGCATGGAGGAGACGCCGGGGGTGGAGCAGACCTTCAGCGAGCAGATCAGCGTCAACAGGCAACGCATCCGAGAGCTGCGGTCCGACCGAGCCAAGCTGGAGAGAGAGCTGAAAGATGCAGAGCGCATGCTGGACGAGTACAACAGCAGGTTAGACAATCCGACAGAGGATGAAGAGTGTGGAAGATTGTGGTTGAAGACTTTTGATGACTGATAACTAGAGGGGAGGCGAGAATAATGCGAATAATAGATTTAAGATAAGAAAATTCTGTTTCGTTCTTGGTGTGAACAGGCCTTAACTCTCCCTTCTGTTGATTTCAAATGCAATGTAGTAGTCAATGAACAGATGCTCCCCCAACAGACATTCTCTTGACTATAAGAAAAGTTGCACCTACATCTCTACTAACTCTCATTAGAGTGTTAGTAGAGTATTAGTAGACTGGTAGGGTTAGAATCAGATTGCATGTAGTTGCAAAGGTTCCTAAAGTCAAGAGAATGTCTGTTGGGGGAGCATCTGTTCATTGACTAATACATTACATTTGAAACCAACACAAGGGAGAGTTAAGGCCTGTTCACACCAAGAACGATAACTATTAAAGATAACTTTATTAGCGTCCACACCAACGCCCGATATCGTGTTGTTTATTGTAAGGGCACGCTGCAATTTCGGCGTCTGTCTCTTTAAATGCTGGAGTTCTTTAAAGCAGGATGGATTCTGATTGGCTTTCAATGTTTTTATCATTCATCAGCTGGACAAAAATCATTGTTAAAGTGATTCCAGTGATATCGTTCCTCTGTGTCGTTAACTTTACAGTTGGTGGACATTTTTAGAACTACTTTTTTTTAATATTTTTAAAGTTTTTTTCTTTGGTGTGAATGGGCCTTTATCGTGGTTATTGACCAATGCAGATAATATAAAAATGACCAAATATCGAGATACTACCCTCTGGGCTTCTTCGGTCTAAAATGACCGAAAACTGTTACGTTTTGAACAATCTGCTCAAAGACGTTTAAAGGACTGTTGAGCGGCTACTTTAGCTGAAAGAGATTAAATAATATTAACAGAGAAGAGAAGAAAAGCTATTTAAACAAAAGCGCAGAAAAACACAGACAGAAAGTTCTGATTTAAATAATGATGCAGAAAAACACAGATTTATTAAAAGACTTTAACTCGAATGTAAAGTTCTGATTTCCAACTTGTTTGTTTACTTGCTACTGTCACAGTCATCGTCTGCACCAGTCTGTCTTCGTCTTCACTGCACTTCCCAGAATCCTTCTTGTCTCCACACCTGAACTCACTCCCTCAATCGCCCACCTGTTCATCGTCCTCATCATCCGTGTCACCTGTCCTCACCTCGTTATTGTTCGTTTGTATCTGTCTACTTTCCTTCTGCCCAGTCTGTCCGGTCGGTTCTTGATTATGTCACTTGTTAAAGGGGCATTATGCAGAAATCCCGTTTTTGTCAAACAGCGACCCCTAGAGTTACTGTGGAGTACTTGAATTTAATGTTACTGTCGTAAATACCACTCACTCAGAGCGTGACATGCCCTGTTACATAGTATACAATAGTACATTGTGTTTAATTTGTCGTTTAATGAGATATAATATATGTTGTTAGTGGTGAGAATTTTCACGTGATTAAATGCATAGATCCGACAATTTTAATGGTCCAGAGGCAGAACTTTTGCCAAGTGTGTCAGAGGTTCTGGGTTCTAATCGGTAGTAGTAGTATAGTTTATTTTCCTCATCAAAACCGATTGTTTATTAGTGGTTGTATTTCAAGCAGGGACATGTTTTTTGTGCATTAGATTTTGTGATTTCACCATAACAAAATATAGAGTCTCTCAGTCCCCGCAACGGATTCAGGCGCGCGTCACAACAGAACACTGTAACTTATCTGCACCACTGATCGCAGAGGCAACGAGCACTTTGGTCACTTGATTTCAAAAGTAACACATTTCAGATCGCCTCTTATTTAACAAACGAACGAAATGAATGCTCTACTAGAGTTACCTGGAGATGTTTTATTTGTTTGTAATGGTAACGTTACATCCGTGCCGCGAGAAGTTTCAATGGGGACATAACACACCAGCAAATTATGCCTATGCTCGTGTCCGACTCCTCGCTCGGTCAGTCTGCCGTTTCCTCTTTCTCTGTTCCTCCGACAATGCTTTCCTAGCTTTCTGCATCTTATATGCCGGCTCAGCCATGACGATAGTGTGACAAACTCCATCCATCTATACCTTGTTCCTGTGTGTATGTGTGCAGTTGCCGTAAAGGAATATGTTACATCGCGAGAGCTGATATCACGCGATACTTCCTGACGCGGGCCGCCGCACCGAAGTTGCAAGTGAGATTTTTTCGCTCACAGGCACCAGGGGGGGTCGAGACGCCCACCATTCAACCCGAAAGAAGTTATATAACCATTTCAATAACTCTGAAGCTGTTCAGTTAAGCTAAAAAAGCTGCATAGTGTCCCTTTAATGATTATGTTATTGTGTATGTTACCTAGCGTGTCTGAGTGTTACCTGCCTGTCTATACCTACCTGAAGTAATATTTAGTAAAGAAGTTTATATTGGACCTTCTGCCTGCTTGCCTTGTCTTCCTCCAACACCACACCGTGACAGAAGAACCGACCTAAAATTAACAGAAGAACGGACCTTATCATGAGCTGGGAGCTCGCTGGACAGATCGCGGCTTTGGCTCTGGATAGCCGCGATCTGTTCCACTTCACCTGGGGGTTTGTTCCTCTCGCTGCGTCCTGCTCGTTGAACGACGAGTCAATCAAGGCGTGTTACCGGCTGGGGGCTCAAGCAGTCAATCCGAGGGAGCTCCCAGATCCCAGGTCCGGCCACACCGTGACAGCTACTAAGTGCCAAAAAACAAAAACATAAAAATATTTGATTCCGTTAAACTTTGGAAAATCATAGGTCCCACTTTATATCAAGTGTCTTCAACTACTATGTAGTAACATTTTAGTTGCACTTATTGTGTACATACATGTTTTTACATTGTAATTGCATTTAAAATACCTAAATGTAATTACATCTATAATTACTGTTGACCCCTTAACCCACCCATAAACCAACAAACCTGTCCTAACCGTACCCGTATCCTTCTCAATAGTGTTTTGTAATACAACAGCAAAACAATAAGTACATTGTACATCATTATTTTTTTATGTAAGAACATCATAGTAAGACACATAAAGTGTGAGCAAATATTGTAGTTAATTCTTCCTCAAAGGTGCTCAATGATTCAATAAGAAAACGTTGTTTCCTGATAGACCTATTAAAAAACCTGAAGTTTATTAATTAACTTTTTCACAGGTCAAGGGCGTAGTAAATGAGAATCAGTCATGTTTGCATGCTTCATAACACCCAAGAAACCTCTGAATTATTACCAAAAGAAATGACATCAGGGTCCACAGGTCAAAGCAGATCAATAACTCTCTCTGCTTAGAAAGAGCCTTGAAATGAAAACCGTGAACATGCATGACTGTCGGGATGAACTGTACTTGACATACTCTCTGTTGTCCACAGATACAGAAATGAATGTGAATACCAAGAGCAGCTGCGGCACACGCTGGAACAGCTCAGTAAGGTACAAACATACTGTGACCTGCAGTTTCTCTGGCCATTATGTAAGGGATAATGTACATCCAGCCGGTGGTTCTCTCAAAATAACCCCCGACAGGATGATGAGGTTGTGATCAGCCTGAAGGGTAATTCTGAGATCACACACTCTCACACACACACACACCTGAAGGGGTTTATTCTGAGATAACAACCGGCTGGATGTACATTATCCCGCTTATTACACGGGTACTTGCCACATAAGTAAATAATTAGACACGAAATATTGATCTGAGTTGAAATATTTTATTAGGTGTTTAATCCAACGCTATCTCACATCCAATTTGTACGAATTCGTACGAGTGAGTAAAATATGACTGATTGAGGTCGTACGAATTCGTACGATTTGTCTAAACCCCAGTGACGGTTAGGTTTAGGGGCGGGGTCAGGGGTCAGGGGTAGGTCATTCGTACGAATTCATACGAATTGGGCAACTCGTAAAATTTGTACGAATTACCGTGAGATCGGGTTGGTTTAAACGTAAAGCTTCCGCGGAGAGCAGTTGCTAGCGTGGCAAGTTCAAACTAGACAGACATTTAAGAGATACGGTATACAGTCATAATAATTAAAGATATAATACGCATGATGATACGGTAAATTCATAAAGCAATAATCCACAAGAGATCATGCGTCTCAGAGATATAACCACAGGCGAGGGCTGTTCGAAGGCTCAATGTGAAGCGCCTCAAACCCCCTTAGCAGCAGTAAAATCTATGAAATACACACTCAAGTGACTTATCATTTTTTATTTATAAATGCAATGCTGTAAGCTACTCGACTTCGCATAAGGCCAGAAACACATACGAGTTCTTGCAAATGCAAAGGCTTTTAGTTGTTTAAACTCGAATGTGTGCATTCTTACAGTTTGTTTTGTAACACGATGCATTCTCAGCAGTAATAAATGGAGTGCTATAGGAAAAAATTCAGGTCAACTTCTATAATGGAAGTTAATTAAAGTTAGTTAAACTGGAAGTTACCCAAATATTAAACAGGACCTATTATGCTTTTTTCCATGTTCATCTTTCTTTAGTGTGTAATGTTGCTGTTTGAGCATGAACAATCTCTGAGTTCTTCTCTATATCAGTGTCAGTGTTTCTGAACTCCTGAAACGCCTCCATTGTAGTCTTGAGTTTCTCCCGGGAACGAACACGTCACAATATTCCTCATTATAATAATCCATATGGAGAATAAAGGGGCGGGCCTGGTTGAGTTAGTTAGTAGTGTGTTAAACTGGCGGTTATGGGAAGGGGCGGGGCATTTCCCAAACACACTCGAAGCGCTCGACCAATCACAACACACTGCTCCAGCCGACCAATCAGAGCACAGTGTGCTTTTCAGAAGGAGGGGCTATATAGAGACAGGAAGTAAACAGAGCGTTACTGACAGACTGGGAAGAGAGGAGCCGCAACAATGGAGAATATGAGGAGAATAATCAACATTCAAGCAGGAAAACCTGTTCTAGTAGAGCCTGAAAACAACATCAAGACTTTATCAACACATTATTGAAAATCAGGGAGTGAGATGTCTTATGTTGAGACAAGTGTTTCTGAGTAACTCCACCACCATTGTTCACTGAACAATGTTTTCCAAGTCTCAATTATGATTCCATTTGCTCTTGTGTTTGCAGGGAGCCGACACCGTGCTATTGAAGAACCTTGAGTATCAAATCCAGCTGCAGTTTCTGCAAGACGACGTCAACGCTACCAGAGAGAGGCACAAAAAGGTAGGAGGAAAATATAACCCCTATTTCCACTTCTGTCTTTTCAAGGAGCCTCTGGAAAGTTCTTCTGCTAAAGTTGAAAGTTGTTGAAAGGATTGTGTGTGCTGAGCTTACATTTGTTCACTTTAGAGAGCAGAATTTGGTATCTTTTAAATGTGATGTCAGCAGTGTTTTTCTGAGCCGTCGAGTGACAGTCTATTGTGTGGCTGTGCTTTATGTTTAATCAGTCAGCGTCTGAACACCAGAATATTCTCATCAACATGCGCATTATTTCAGAAACTATGACAGAGCAGCCGGAAGCACAGAAGCACATGAACATAGACATATGACACAGCAGCCAGAATGCTGCTTTCAGTGATTGAAGTGATCAAGTCTCACTCGTATTATTGTTTAATATAAAAGCATTATTATGTAATAATCTTAATGCTTGTCAATAAGCTGTGCAGTGACCCAAAATAGACTCAAAGTATAAATATCAGTAATATTCTTTATCTGACATTTATCTTAACTAACTGTTCCGCATTTTTCATTGATACGTGCAGAGGTATTTTGCCCAATAATTAGAAACTCTGTTTTTTTCAGAATTAAGTAGTAGAAAAAAAATAGTCATCCAAATTTTTATATCAGCTATGCATTCCCTTAATTTTGTGAACTGGTACGTTTCGTCGGGGCCCGAAGAAATATAGAGCTGAGTATCGTCAGCTTCTCTTCTCTGATGATGTGGGCGGGGCAACCTGTCACTCACATGAGATCCACCAATAGCAAACCACAACCTTTTAACCATCCAATCAATTCCCCACAGACAAAATCAAGCCCCGCCCACATTTCTTTCTTGTTCCAGAAGCGTTTCACTCGGATATACGGCACAATAGGGAAGAAAAACTACCTCAACTTCCTATTCAAGCTGACTTTAAACATGTAGTTTTAAGTGAGTGATCCAGCGTAGTGGTTTTGAGACCCTGTCATTGGAACCACTGAAGAATCATTTCTTTGCAGATGCCAATTCGCCTTTGGCTAAGCCACACCCTAGAATGTAGATTGACTAATCACAGCGCAGCCAAGAACGAGCTCCCACAGAGGTCCGGCACTTTTTCACAGCGCTCCATTGACTTTAACACAGGCGTCTCATATTTTTGGTCTCGGCCGGCTATTAGCGTCGTAGTTTTATCAAAAATATGGTTAAACGTTGTGCCTGGGGCATTTGTAACACAGATACGCGTTTCCCAGAGAGGTTGGAGGGGGGTGTGCGTTTTTCCCTTCCCAAAACCGAAGTCAAATCCTGACAAGTGTCGTCTAGCACACGCTGCTAATAAATACAACGTTATACTCGCGTAGTCCGTTTGCTTTGTAATAACGATTATAGAAGTGAATAGAGACCTACCCAGCTTTGCATGAACAGCATTTGCATGTTGCTCCTTGATATTGTGAGTCCCAGCCTCCGTCTCCATTAGTAGGATATGCGGTGGGTCATTTTTTGACTGTGACCGATGTGCTTTTGCCTCTGTTTGGATGCCTTGCGGTTCCCCTGTATGTCATGAACGTATGTCTTCGAACGTATATTGCAGCCCCTTTGCCTACTTCTATCGGACACTTTATTTGCTGCTTTATAAATGTTTGATAAAATGTCAGCAGGAAGAGCTGTCACAGCATACACCATGTTGATACCAGAGCCCAGATGAAGTTTGTTTGTCGGACGTAGCAACAGTAACTAAGGGGGGCGGGGCTTAGCCAAAGGCGAATTGCTTTGATAATTTGTTTTACAATCAAATCTAATTTGTACAGTTATCTATATATAATCATCTATTTTCTTTTTATTGTTCAAGAGAAACATTCTTTGCATCCTCTAACGCCTGTTTCTCTGTAATGAATTTGACCTTTCACCAGTCTCACTCCTGATGTCCCCCTCCATTGATCCCTGTCCCGTGTGTGTGTGTGTGTGTCTTCCTCCACAGAACCTCGCTGAGATCCAAACGTATATGAATATCCTGCAGCAGATCAACCAGACGATCCCCCTGATGCCAGGCTCGTCAGTCTCAGAGGTGGGTGAGCTTGTGTCTCTCAGCGCCTCGGGCCTGTTCTGACTCTCGGGGGTCACAGGGAATAAGAGCTGTGTGTCTCTGAGTGATCAGGATCCCTGAGCGATGACACCCTTTATCTTCCACCGTTCTTCTGCGGGCGAGAGCATCTGAAGCGCACGATTACTGCTGAGGAAAGTCATTGGGTCTCATTCATGAAACATTCGTAAATATACGAGTAAATATGCGAATGATTTGCGCGTAAAGAGACCTTCCCGAAAACTCTTCTCCTGATTCACAAATACTTCGTAAACGTCAGATGTGATATGTGTGTGTGTGTTAATGAATTCCAATCAGTCGTAAATGGGATGCGCGTGCACGCTCATTCTCAATTACCATAAATCCCGCCCATATTATGACACCAAACAAAGGTTTTCAACATGTCTTCTCAAAAGCGAATGAACAAGAAAAATTTCTCAGATGCAGAAATCGAAGTTTTATTATCAGAAGTTCATTCAAAACACCACTGACTTCACCACTGACACCAATGACTTCTTCTCCCTCAACCAAGCATCCCCCACTGGCTACAATTACATCTGCAAACCCCGCTGTGGAAGTGGCCTCGCCGTTATTTATAATTAGAACTTCCATATCACTGAACTCACCCTCCCTTCAGTATCATCATTTGAATATCTCGTCTTCAAAGCTCTTTCCTCCATGACAGTTATCCTCATTTACCGGCCACCTAAACCAAATCCCTCATTCCTCTCTGATTTAACTGAACTCCTCACACTCCTCACGCCTCATCTCTCTCTCCACGTCTGCTACTACTCGGTGACTTAAACATCCACATAGACTCCTCCACCTGCAAGCTGTCATCAGAATTCACAATTTTATTGGACAACTTTACTCTCACCCAACATGTCACATTCCCCACCCATGAAAAAGGACACATCCTCGACCTGGTCTGCTCCACTAATCAACCAGTGCTCAACCTCCATCCATGCCTCTTTCCCCTCTCTGATCACAAACTGATACGGTTCACCATTCCGTCTCCAACCTCCCGCCCCCGCCTCCTCAGAGAAATCACCTTCCGCAACCTTAAATCAATTGATCCCCATCATCTCTCTGACCTGCTCTCCACCACTCTCCACATGGACTCAACCCTCACCTCACCTGATGATCTCACAAACCACCTCAACTCCGCTTTGTGTACCTCCCTTAACACTTTGGCCCCGCTCAAAACAAAAACTGTCACTTTTAACAACTCGTCACCCTGGTACACACCTGCACTCCGGAAAATGAAACAAACTGGACGCCAACTTGAACGCCTAACAAAAAAATCATCTCTCATAGTCCACCATGAAGCCTATAAACTCCACCTCATTGCCTACAAAGATGCCCTCATTGCCGCCAAATCTGCCTACCTCTCCACCATCCTCACCAACCCCTGTCTAAACCCCAGAACCCTCTTCTCCACATTGAACAACCTCATCAAGCCTCGGACCAACACCCTCCTTACCTCTACTCCGGATCTCTGCAACTCATTCCTTCACTTTTTTCGCTGATAAAATCAATATCATTTATCAATCTCTATCCCCTGCATCCAACCTTCCAGTATCTACTCCAGCACCTATCACGGCCCCTTTTCCCCCCATCCCTCCTGACCTCCCTCCCCCTCCTCCACACTGCCTCTTCTCCCAGTTTAACTTGGTCACCACTTTTGAAATCTCTAAACTTATCAGTTCTTCCAAACCGACTACCTGCTCACTTGACTCCCTCCCTACTCCACTCCTGAAGTCCTGCCTCCCCGTCCTTTGCCCCTACCTCACTAACCTCTTCAATTCCTCATTGTCCCTTGGAACTGTCCCCTGTGCTTTCAAAACTGCCGCTGTCACCCCAATCCTCAAAAAACCTGGTCTGGATCCCTCTTCCCTCAACAACTACCGCCCAATTTCCACCCTCCCCTCTCTGTCTAAAACCCTGGAACGTATAGTTGCTTTACAATTGCAAACCCATCTTCATGTCAATAACCAATTTGAACTTCTCCAATCTGGTTTTCGCCCCCTCCACAGCACAGAAACCGCTCTCCTCAAAGTCCTCAATGACCTCCTCACCTCCGCTGACACCGGTTCCCTTAACATCCTTATTCTTCTCGACCTGAGTGCAGCCTTCGATACCGTGAGCCATAACATCCTGCTCACCAGACTCAAAGACCTTGGTATCAAAGGTATTGCACTCAGCTGGCTCCGTTCCTACCTTTCCAACAGATCCCACTTCATCTCTCTTCATAATCACACCTCTGCAACAGTCACAGTCACCCAAGGCGTTCCCCAAGGATCCGTACTCGGCCCCCTCCTCTTCATCATTTACATCCTCCCCCTTGGTCAGATACTTCGTCACTTCAAACTGAATTTCCACTGTTATGCCGATGACACTCAGATCTACCTCAGCACCAAATCCCCCCACAATCCTCCCCTCTCCCATATCAACTCCTGTCTGTCAGCTATTAAAACCTGGATGCAACATAACTTCCTCAAACTCAACAGCAATAAAACAGAAATCCTCCTCATAGGCTCCAAATCCACTCTCAGCAAAACCAATAACATCACTGTCACCATTGACGACACCATTGTCTCCCCATCTCCCCAGGCCCGAAATCTTGGCGTGATTTTTGATTCAACCCTCTCCCTTGAACCTCACATCTGTCATGTCATTAAAACCTCCTTTTTTCACCTCCACAACGTCGCCAAAATCAGACCCTCACTCACACCCTCTGCTGCTGAAAGACTCATTCACGCCTTCATCTCCTCACGACTGGACTACTGCAACTCACTACTCCTTGGTATCAGCTCAAACTACATAAAAAGACTCCAACTGGTCCAGAATGCAGCCGCCCGACTCATCACCCGCTCCAAATCCTGGCACCACATCACTCCAGTCCTAAAACAACTACACTGTCTTCCTATTTCCCACCGGATCACATACAAAATCCTGGTCCTTAACTATAAAGCCATCCACCTCCTGGCCCCCTCATACCTCACTGACCTCCTCTTCCCCTACCAACCCTCACGGTCCCTCAGATCCACCTCAGCCGGTCTCCTCTGCATCCACAAGTCCAAGCTTCGCAGTTTTGGGGACAGAGCCTTTTCCAGGGCAGCTCCCAGGCTCTGGAACTCCCTCCCCCATGAGATCCGCACCTCTGAGTCCCTCACCATCTTCCAGTCCCGCCTCAAGACTCATCTCTTCATCTCTGCCTATCCGTAGCCACACGGCCCTCCCATCTCTATATGTGCCTGATTTTTTTTTTTTTTTTTTTTTTTTTTGCTTATTCACCTGCCCTGTAAAGCGACTTTGAGTTCGAGAAAAGCGCTATACAAATTCAATTTATTATTATTATTATTACCACATTTTATTTTCAAGCGTACATAGTGGCGTATCAGGTCCTAAAGAAAAGCAAGCTTGGCAGCATATTACAGATGCAGTTAATGGAGTTTCATCTGTTAATCAAACAGTCCCAGGAGTAAAAAGAAAAACCGTATGTAATTACTATATATAATATTTTTTCAAAATGCTGTGTAAATATGTACCCGATTAAGGTGAATTAAAATGCAGCCTTAGCTATTAATGAGCAAAACGTTCGGATCCTAAACTCACTATTTACGCGTGGCTGGGAGCAGGTGTAGATTTCTTTCGTACCAACTAACATTTGGAAAATACGAACATTTTAATGAATCCGAAAATTTACGCCAGAACCACTTTACACATGATTTACACAAAAATTAGTTCTGCTCGTGTTTCATGAATGAGACCCAATGTGTTCATTTTAGATGTTTTACTTTTTGGCTTGTTTGTTTTTTACTTAAAGGGGTCATATTATGCCCCTTTCAAAAGATGTAAAATAAGTCTCTGATGTCCCCAAAAGTGTGTATGTGAAGGTTTAGCTGAAAATGCCCCACAGATAATTTTTTTTATCGCATATTAAAATTGTCACTTTTTGAGGGCGAGCAAAATACGCAGTTTTTGTGTCTGTCCCTTTAAATGCAAATGAGCTACTGCTCCCGGCACAGAGTGCGGAGCTTAAAGAGCTTGTGTGTGTGTGTGTGTGTGTGTGTGTGTTAGCAGCTCCGATTACCTCACACACACGCACTGAAAATTTCAAAAAGAGTCGGACAAAAGTGACAACATGAGAAGCAACAGGACATTTCTGAGTGGTTAGTTGATGAATTTATGTATCTGATGTGGAGTTAATATCTTCAAGTCATTGATTAGCATATTCTGTCATGATAATCTATAAATCGCGTTCCTGGGGGCGGTGTTTATGTAAATTCCAGGGTTAGTGATGTCACTAACCCGGGAGGAAGCTCGTGTAGTTCCTACCAGCCGTTTGTTGTAGTCCTTGAAAAGCGATTTCTGTAAAAGCAAATATCTCCCTTTACTCTGAACTTTGAGGGTCGTAACTTTGCAGATGTTGTTTATGCTCAAACAGCAACATTACACACTAACTACAGTTAGAAAAGTGAAATCATAATCAATCACCCCTTTAACTCTTTTCTTTTTTTTTTTTAAGTTGCCACCGCAATAATTCTTTATAATTTTCACAAAACTTTCATGGCCCCAGAATATTTAGTTGTATGAATATCTATGTAAAAAAAAAAAAAAGTTTTATTCTAGATTAATGCATTCTCTTTTATCAGACTGATCTCATGAAATGGCGTATGTATGACACGCCAATTCGTATTTCCATTTTTGGCGTGCTATCAACACGCATAATTGCTTTTCAGCGTGTTTATCAACGCCTTTGACTTAACGTTATATTACTGTATTATGTATATATAAATATATGACCTACCCCAACCCCGTCCCTAAACCTACCTGTCACTGGGGTTAATACCATTTATGAGTCTTCTCCTACCATCCTAGGAAAAGAAATATCGCTCCACAGATGTAGATATAGATTTTGCTTCGTTTCGCTCGGACATTTAACGGCGTACACATACACGCGGAATCACTCGGACGTTTAATGGCGTAGACATACACGCAAAAGATTTCGGCGTGGACATACACGCGGATAGCTCAAAATGCGTATAGATAACACGCCACTTGACTTGAAAGTGGCGTGTATGTTTACGCAAAGTCATGATGTCATGTTGCTTTTATCAACACTTGTATGTGGGTAAGTTTCTTAAAACAGCAACATTTTGAACATAAAGCTGAGAAAAGTGTGTGTTTGTCCCGGATGGGATTCAGAGCGATGATCAAACACAGATGGAGAAGATCGAGTCCATCAACACCTCAAAGCTTCACAGTCCTAAAGCTCGTCCTGAGTCCACATTTCATTCAACACGTTCTCACACCAACTCGTCACATATCGATCACTTTTTAACGCACATGTACCGCTTTAGTGTCATTTTTTGACACACAGGTTTCTCCTTTGCTTTCAGTTGTTTGACTTATGCATCAGATTAAGATGCATTTGTAAAAGTAGACATGACTATAAATATTTATAGGCTACTTTTATATTTTGGAGCAACTAACCGAATCACCCCAAGGAGGAACAATTAGTCAGAAAGATTATTTTTAGCTTTTTTTCGGTCTAGAGATAATAGGTTACACTTTATTTCGATTGACCACTTTAGACATTCTCAAGTAACTCACTCTCATTGGAGTATACTGTTAGTTGAATAAGTTGACATGTAGTTGCAAAGTTACTTCTAGTCAGGAGAATGTCTGAAGTGGAGCATCAAAATAAAGTGTAACAGAAGAACCGAAAAAAACAACTAATCAAGAGTCAAATCAAGTCAATGACATTCTGAGCCAAATGTGAGCGGTGCATGTGTTCGCAAAGCTCAATGGCACAATGCTGAAGTGGGTTGCTATCCGGATATGTGGTTGCTAAGGTGTGTGTGTGTGTGTGTGTGTGTGTGTGTGTGTGTGTGCGTGCGTGCGTGTGCGTATGTGTGTGTGATTGTTTTGCTTGTTTATAGTCTGACAGGTCAAAGTTTGATTGCTTAGAGAACAAATAGCACCGAAAAAAGCCCAAACATTGTGAGTGATCGTGTCTGTTGCTGGTCAGTTATGAGATAAAGTTTAGCCTATTATTTAGCTTTAGGTGTTTGTTCAAATCACTGGCTCTTAGTAATGGCAATAATAATGTCAATGCTTGCCATAACAAACATAAAAAATAAGCATTTAAGCGCTGAGCTAATATCTTGTTCATTGTGGTAATGGGTGCTTGTGTGCAAATGTCATTGATATTTCCTTGCTTTTTAAATGACAGCTTTATAAGGACAAGTAAATCTGGATTCTGCAGGTTTATTGCTTAGGATTTTTAAAAAATATAAATAGGAGTTATAAAAAGTGGACGTTTACACGACAACTATCTACATCTATGTTCCTTCGCATTTTTCTTTTACAGACGACAGCGCTGTCCAAACGATCCGTGAAAACGACTAGCGCTGTGTTCTGCTGTCAGGCCAGTAGATGGCGACGTCACTATCTAAGAAACACGTATACACATGTGCAGGGATGTAGTGGAGGCTAAACGCACGTAAACGCCGTTTACGCACCTCCCAATATTCGGAAATACCATTTACCCACCTCCAAAGTGCGTTTATCCACCTCTAAATTGCGTTTATCCACCTCTAAATTGCCCGTAGTTCCTAATACATTTTAAATTAAGCTTATGTCGTTTTAGTTTCATTGTTCATTTTTAGTTTCATAGGTTGTTAAAACTAAGACGAACTCTTTCATATTGCGCTGCATGACTGTCAGTGTTGTTGACTTTTACTGACGGTGAGGTTAACTTACGCTGTTGACGCTCGCGCAGCCTCTCGAGGAGAAATTTACACAAATGAGCGCAGCACACACTCGGTTAACAACATACTGCCAATAAAAAAAATGTGTAGTTTTTATATTTAATTTTTATTTATTTTTTACATATGTTAAGCAACCTTATTTATTTTTCCTGAACACCATCACGATTGAAAATGTGACATTGCTTTCCTACAACAGTTCAATAAACAGTTAAAATTAAGCCACTTACATTTTAGATGCAATATTGGCTGTTTTTGTTCTGTTTCAGCAGCGAAAATAGTTCCAAACAAAAATCACAGCAGAACCACGGCGCATCTCACAGGAACACTCAACCTGTTTTCATTACTGAATGATTCAGCGTTTTGAACAAATCAATTGAGTCAAAGATTCAATGACCCATTAATAAACATCTGTCTCATTCTTGAATGAATCAGCCGTTTAAACGAATCGTTTGTTTGTTTGAATGAATGAATCAATGACTCACTCATTAAGACGGTCGCCTGCGGTTTAGTGTTATGTTGAAAAGTAGTATCATTCTTTCCAATGTTTCTTATATGTAAATTTAAATCAATTTCATAACATTATTTTATGCAATTGTAATTTTTCAGTGTAAATGATTTAATTTGATCAGCCCCTAGGGTAACAGCCCTATAGTATATTATTATTCTAAATAATTGAATTTATTGATCAAATTTATGAATTTAAAATGAGAGATGAAGCATTAATAATATTGGGGGAGGGGATGCCCTTTAAAGGTGCAGATATTACAATATGCCGATTTCAATATCAAAGCTGATTGAACACTGATGAGAATAATCAGAATAAATGAGAATATTGTTTCAGAATAAATTAACACACACACACACAAAAAATAAAAATCAAAAAAAATCCGGACGAGCAATTTTTTTACTCGGACAAGTGAATGACAGATTTACTTGTCCGAAGGACAAGTGAAAAGACTTAATGTCGAGCCCTCCCTATAGCAATGTCATCAGGATACACACACCGGTAGGCAGTGGCCCACCTTACCGGGTGACCACGTCGTGGTCCACCAGAATTGATAGTTTACCCACCTCTTTTTTTACCACTACACCTCTGCACATGCGCATGATGTCACAGTTTTCACAAATTCACGTTTTTGTGGTTTACACGGAGATGATAACGGTATCGTCTTCAAAAACTTGCTCTTTGAAACCCGTTTCAAACCCGCCACCAAAATGCCATTGTCGTGTAAATGTAAAGCTTAAAAAGCGTTCGTTTTTAGTTGAAAACAGTGTTGTGTAAATAAACCCTAAGTTGTCAGTTTAGACAGTTTTAAGAGCTGTTTAATTAGGTTTTTTAGCTGGTGGTACAGCCATTAATTAAACATCAGGAAAAAAGATATCATTCCTTTAAAACTGACTACATTTGTAAATAATTAAACTGTTTAAAATTTAGTATTACTTGTCAGTTTTTAACCTTATTGATTTACCTTTTTCTTTTTAATGAATAATTGAATCCTCGTGTGGTAATTCTACCGTTCTCCTCCTAATAAAGAAGACATGACGTGTGTTTGACCTTCAGCGTCTCTTTTAGAAAAGCCCGTGTGGGGATTTGAAAGGTGTTCAGAGACACGAGTCGAAGTGAAACATGCTCTATGTGATCAGATGACAGCACACTTTGAGGATAAGTACAGTAAGAAGTGTGTTTCCCCGCAGGATCAGGAGCGTGTGATGGCTCAGAGACGAGTGCCGGGTCTGAGGACTCAGTTGGAGGAGTACAAGAGCGCCATCTGTCAGCTGAAGGCCCAGAAGCAGCAGCTGCACACTGAGGTACCGGACTCTCCATCACACACAGCACCTGGAAACACTCAAACAAAACAAATGAGGCAATCAGTTGCCTTAAAACTTTAAGTTAAGAAATTCAAAGTTTAAGTAAGCAGACCTGGCAGATTTTGTACTCAATACATTTTATTTGTATGAGTGATTTATTTGTACTGTAAAGTGAATTACACTACAGTTACTGGAAATTGAAATACAGTAACTTGCTGGCAGTAATGCACTGTAAAAATACAAGAACACCGTTAACAGAAATGGTTTCAAAGATGCACACAGGAAATGACTCTAACGTGAATGCATTGATTGATTCCTAGGTTTATTTTGATATGAATAAACAAATGTGCGATCTATAAAGCAAAAACCTTACAATTAAAGTTGAAAAGTTTTTGATCTAAAAAAAAGAAAAATGCACTCAGAAAATGACTCTAATATGACCATATTGATTGATTCGAAGATATTTCGTTTGTTACAGACAATGTGCAATCTGTAAAACAAAAACCTCAAATTTAAAGTGGAAATGGTATACTGCTGAAAAGTTCTTGACCTTGAGAAAAAGCTTAAAGTATAGACCAACAATTTTTATGTTTGTTAATTTGTTTCATGTTGGTACATTTTTGGGAAGTACACCTGTTTTGACCTGATGTCCATTGAAATGGAGAAAAAGAAAATACAATTAAATCCAAACTTTTTATTTGGTCTCATTTATAGAAGCCTCGTGTGCTGAGAAAATGTACTTTTATATTTTTCAGAAACTTGAAACATAATTCAGGTCTGAAGGGATTAACTTGAAATGTTTGAGTACACTAAATCAAGCACTTAACTTCACATTTTCATGTAACCTCAATGTTAATATTTGTATTAGTATTAACTTATCTTGGTATAACAACCTAGTTCAAATAATGCAAATTTGCTAATATAATAACTTTAGCATGGTATAGCATTTGCTGTAAGAGTGCAGTAATATAAAGCCTTTAACAAACTTCTCTCAGACCAAGCTCACACACCACTCGTCACCATGATGGTAACTCTCCTAAAACCAACATTAACTGCAATTATTCTAAATTAGCATAACAAAACATTAATCATTTCCCACTTAACATTATTCTAGCACAAAAAATACATTATATTACACTTAATTTTAGCATTTATTCTCCCTTTCGAGTGCCATGGGCAAAGCATGCTGGGAAACAGAAATCCCTGCCCAGTTTCAGTTCAACTTAAGTTTGTCTAAATGAACATAAATAATTTCATAAAACTCAAAACAATGAAACAGTTCAGTTTACTTCAAATATATCAGTTCTGTGAACTTGAAAGAAAAAGAAAGTGCTAAATACTCATAAAAGTTCATTTGACTGAACTAATTAGTTTAATTCAAGTTTGTCCTACTAAAACCAATTCATTATTTGAGCGTTAGGGTTTACAATAACTACAGTAGCCAAAAATGATCAAATTAATGATGGACGGGATTTTAAACCCTTGAATTAATTTTCTACTCCAACATGGGAGACTCTTTAAAGGATTAGTTCACCCAAAAAATTAATTAATAAATAAATAAAGTGTGATCAATTAAGGTGATGATACACAGAGCAACTTTTTGGGCAATGTTGCCGGGCAACCAGATGAGACAAAGGGCCCACAACCGATATAAATTATACATTTATACATTTATTGCCCATTTTCAATGGGAAAGTGCCCAAGCAACAATCACTCGGCAAGATTGCCCAGCAACATTGCTCATAAAGTTGCCCTGTGTATCATCACCTTTACTCTCCCTCGTGTCGTTCCAAACCCGAAAGACTTTCATTCATCTTCGAAACACAAATGAAGATATTTTTAAGAAATTTGATGAATCTCCATTAACAGCTGCGCAACTACCACTTTGCTTAAAATAATTCTTAAATAGATCATAAAACGAATCCATATGAATTGAGCGTTTTAGTTTAAATATTCTGAGACTCGATCGCTTTATATGATGAACAGAATACATTTTATCACCTGTCGATTTTGTTGCTGTTATCAATGCTATTGGCCACTGTTAGCAAGACTCTTAAATATATATATATATATATATATATATATATTATTATTATGCTTAGTAGTTTTTTTAAAATAAATAAATAATTTATTCAGCAAAGACGCATTAAATTGATTAAAAGTGACAGTAAAGACATTTATAATGTTACAACCAATGTTCCCTCTAATTTTTTTTCTTGCTGAGCAAAACTTTTTTCTATTGGGCGGACATTTTTCGCCACCTGAGCAAAAATATTCTTTATACCTGACCTGTACAGCATACGTAGAAACACAATGGTTTCAACATTCAGTTGTAACTTTTAACTTGAATGTGCCATTTCAATTTTATTTGACCCTTGATGTAACTTATAGGTAATCATATTTTCGAAAAACAAGCTTCTTAACAAATCAAGAAGTCACTAATGAAGCACATTTTAGGTTACCTGATATTTGTTTTACAGTGCTGTTAACTGTACAGTCTTTACCAAGAAATCCTATGAAAAATAATTTACAAAATCTTCTGCAGGACAGTTAAATTCTTTACATTAATAGAATATAGTATGAAAAAAAAGTAAGCTGTTTCACTGAGATGGTTTGGGAAAACCATAAAGTGTTTTTGTACAGTCAATTCATTGTGTACAGGAAGCATTAAACCGTCAAAGTTAAATGATTGTTTATTGCTTATGAATTTCCCATATTTTCTTTAGCAGGGGATTTCAAACGTTTTAATGGCAATGAGCCCTAAACAATACCCTTGTGAGATTCTTTATTTAGGCTTATAATATAATAAAATATAGGCCTAATAAAATATTTAAAAAAACGAATTGAAGTATTTGAAGTGATATAATATATCAGTTTAAATGCTTAAATTTGTTTACATATTATATTATTATAATATGAAAACAAAGCATTTAAATAGATCTAATAGCTAAATATTTTCAAGAAAAGTGAATGTGAACTCTTTTATAATCTAACCATCCCTGAAACTCCCACACACAAAAACATCTATTTAAACTAATGATGTATTTTGAGTTTGCACGCGGGTGGGTGTGTAATTGTTACCGTTCTGTGTCCATCAACCGTTATTTCCACCACTTTAATCAAACCACTCTTCTTTAAAACATTATGATGTGATTTTATTTCACACGTCTTTGCGTTTCTCGTCGCCTCTCGTATTGAGCTATTTGGTCCGCACACACGACTCACTGCCAATCACACGCGCTCACATCGTTCTCTTATGAAACCGGTAAACTGCATTCACCAGTTTTCTCTCTATAGTGGTTGACCAGAGCACTGCAATTATTTCTCACTTAAACTACAATCAAATGGATTTCCCCACACGTTTCGCGTCAGTCCTCTGCGTGGCATTTTATTCTTTTCTGCGCGGCCGCCGCTTAGAAGTGCGCGGCGGAGGCATCAGAAGTGCGCAGCGGAGGCATCAGAAGTGCGCGGCGGAGGCATCAGAAGTGCGCAGCGGAGGCATCAGAAGTGCGCGGCGGAGGCATCAGAAGTGCGCAGCGGAGGCATCAGAAGTGCGCAGCGGAGGCATCAGAAGTGCGCAGCGGAGGCATCAGAAGTGCGCGGCGGAGGCATCAGAAGTGCGCAGCGGAGGCATCAGAAGTGCGCAGCGGAGGCATCAGAAGTGCGCGGCGGAGGCATCAGAAGTGCGCAGCGGAGGCATCAGAAGTGCGCAGCGGAGGCATCAGAAGTGCGCGGCGGAGGCATCAGAAGTGCGCAGCGGAGGCATCAGAAGTGCGCAGCGGAGGCATCAGAAGTGCGCAGCGGAGGCATCAGAAGTGCGCGGCGGAGGCATCAGAAGTGCGCAGCGGAGGCATCAGAAGTGCGCAGCGGAGGCATCAGAAGTGCGCGGCGGAGGCATCAGAAGTGCGCGGCGGAGGCATCAGAAGTGCGCAGCGGAGGCATCAGAAGTGCGCGGCGGAGGCATCAGAAGTGCGCAGCGGAGGCATCAGAAGTGCGCGGCGGAGGCATCAGAAGTGCGCAGCGGAGGCATCAGAAGTGCGCAGCGGAGGCATCAGAAGTGCGCGGCGGAGGCATCAGAAGTGCGCAGCGGAGGCATCAGAAGTGCGCGGCGGAGGCATCAGAAGTGCGCAGCGGAGGCATCAGAAGTGCGCAACGGAGGCATCAGAAGTGCGCAGCGGAGGCATCAGAAGTGCGCGGCGGAGGCATCAGAAGTGCGCGGCGGAGGCATCAGAAGTGCGCGGCGGAGGCATCAGAAGTGCGCAGCGGAGGCATCAGAAGTGCGCGGCGGAGGCATCAGAAGTGCGCAGCGGAGGCATCAGAAGTGCGCAACGGAGGCATCAGAAGTGCGCGGCGGAGGCATCAGAAGTGCGCGGCGGAGGCATCAGAAGTGCGCGGCGGAGGCATCAGAAGTGCGCGGCGGAGGCATCAGAAGTGCGCGGCGGAGGCATCAGAAGTGCGCGGCGGAGGCATCAGAAGTGCGCAGCGGAGGCATCAGAAATGCGCGGCGGAGGCATCAGAAGTGCGCGGCGGAGGCATCAGAAGTGCGCGGCGGAGGCATCAGAAGTGCGCGGCGGAGGCATCAGAAGTGCGCGGCGGAGGCATCAGAAGTGCGCGGCGGAGGCATCAGAAGTGCGCAGCGGAGGCATCAGAAGTGCGCGGCGGAGGCATCAGAAGTGCGCGGCGGAGGCATCAGCGGCGGAGGCATCAGAAGTGCGCGGCGGAGGCATCAGAAGTGCACGGCGGAGGCATCAGAAGTGCGCGGCGGAGGCATCAGAAGTGCGCGGCGGAGGCATCAGAAGTGCGCGGCGGAGGCATCAGAAGTGCGCGGCCGCGCACGCGCGCAGCTTAGAGGGAACATTGGTTACAACATATTCTATTTCAAATAAATGCTGTTCATTTGAACTTTCCATTCATCAAATTCCACAAAAATCTGAAGCAGCACGACTGCTTCCAACATTGATAATAATCATAAATGTTTCTTGATCATCAGATCATCATATTAGAGTGATATCTGGAGGATCATGTGACACTGAAGACTGGAGTAATGATGCTGGAAACTCAGCTTTGATCAAAGGAATAAATTACACTTTACTATATATTCACATAGAAAACAGTTACTTTAAATTGTAATAACATTTCACAATTTTGCTGTTTTTAGTCGTATGCATTTATTTGATGAAAAATACTTTAAAAACATCAATATTCGTTCAAAAACATAAAAAAAATCAGTAACTAACTACAAATTAGTAAACTAGACTGTGTAACGTCGAGCAGAAGTCCAGTATAATTGGACTATAATGTGTTTCTGTTAATGAAGTGTTTTTCTATAATCTGTTGGTCTAGACCTCTGTGTTGGAGCAAACCATCAAGACGACCCAGGCGAGCTACGACGGCGAGATCCAGCAGTTCAACGATCGCATCGAGAGTCTCCGGAAGGAGATCGAGGAGGCCGAGAGATCTCTGGAGGGTTACACCAGCCAGTGTTGGCGGCTGGCCATGTACCAGAGCTCTCTGGAGAACGAGCTCGAGCGCTCCAGGAGAATCATCGAGAACGAGGACAGCCGGTGAGACCCGTCGTACACTCCTCGTACCACATGCTCAAATCACACCCAATCATATCAAACCTGCCATTAATGTGAGATGCCGTCACATCGTTTTATTATGACAACTACACTCTAAAAAATGCTGGGTTAAAAACAACCCAAGTTGGGTTGAAAATGGACAAACCCAGCGAATGGGTTGTTTTAACTCAGCGGTTGGGTTGAACGTTTGTCCAACCTGCTGGGTAGTTTTATTCAACTCAACTATTGTTTAAAAAATTACTGTATTGTTTGCTTAAAATGAACTGGACGTATGTTGAAAATTAACATTTATTAATAGGTTTAATACATTTACATTTATTAATAAGTTTGATGAATAATAATTAAACAATAAACATGTATTTAAATGCTTATTAATAAATGTTCACCTTTTGATTATTATCGTTGCCTCTAGTTATTATGTGTCTGATTTTTAATTTCTAACCTATTTTTGGTTCATTTTAAGCTAGTAATTTTTTAAACAATAGTTGGGTTAAAAAAAACTGTCCAGCAAACATTTAACCCAACCGCTGGGTTAAAAAAACCGAATCACTGAGTTTGTCCATTTTTAACCCAACTTGGGTTGTTTTTAACGCAGTATTTTTCAGAGTGAAACACCAGTTTTTTTCATTACTGGACTGGCCAAAAAAAGTCACCATCGTTGCATTTGTTGTACAAAAGAATGCAGAATTAATCATTTCAAGCTAAAAATAATGTCATGTTTATTGGGATCAGGGAAGGCTAGCTTCCACACAGTGGCAGTGTAACTACATCATCTTTTTACCCAATAATCACAGCGAGATTTTTTGTTGGGCAATTTCTTCATCTGTAATTAAAGCCTTTACAGACGTTTTAGCATAAATGTATTCCAGCATCATTCATTAACACTATGTTTGATGAGCTGTGCATATTTGTAATATCTGACAACGCTTTCTCTTGGACTCTTTCTCAAGTCTTTAATACAGCTGCTGAATTTTCTTTCTCCCTCTCGCAGATTGAATTCGTCAATAATTGGGACACCTATTACTCTGCTCACATCCAGAAATGAATACACCCACAGTCCTAGCGTGAGCAGGCAGGGACGAGGTGAGTCTGCTGGGGGGGTTATGTAACATGACTGCATCACTGTGATAGTCTTTATGAACAGGCAGCAAATCAAGAGCTAGCAGCTGCTGGCCTGAAGGAAGGGTTACGCCCACTCAGCTGTCAATCAAACCCACTCTGTCTCGCTCAGGCTCGTCGAATCCAGAAGCATAATACAATTGCCTTTAAGATTCTTTGCATTGGCCCTGTTAACAATGATAAATGACACTGACCTTTATGTCTGGGCACGAGTAACGGCTGTTTGTCAAGAGCCACAACACGTTTCTTAAGAAGAAAGGGAATGGTTTAGGTTACACTTTGCCCATGTGTTTGAACGTGTGATGTGTGTGTTTTGGGGTGAATCTTACTATGCAGTACATTTGTCGGCATTGCGTCTTTTTATATTGTATAAAATAGTACCATTTTGATATTTAAAATATCACAATTTTATTTATTTTCATATTTAAAATTGTGATATTTTAAATGGAACTTCAACTAAAAAAGTGAAATTACTTCACACCTATTTACACTCTTATTTTGATTTTTTTTGTAAAATTGTAGTGAGTGAATTTATATATATATATATTTTTTTTTTTTTCACTCACTACAATTTTACAAATAATAAAAATAAGAGTGTAAATAGGGGTGGAATGAGTATATGTTACCATGTGCCAATTGTAAAATTCTAAAATAGAATGTTCAATCAATTTTTAAAAAAATTGTCTAAAATGTTTTCTTTCTCTAATGAACTTTTTCAAACATAAGACATTTTCATGTATTGATAATAATCAGTTATAGGTTTATAGGTGTCCTCAGAATGACTTTCCATGCAGTAAGTTCCCTTTAGCTGGTCTTAGCCAGAGCTTCTCCTGCTGACGTGAGGTCTGGCCTCTACAGCCGCTGATATTGGCCAAGGGCCGCCCACTGTGAAGTGACCAATCACAGTTCAGTTGTGTTCAGCGTCATGTTTAGGGCTGGGTAAATGTCTGTACAGTAACACACTGGCGTTCTGTAACAGACTCAGGGTACTTTCGTGTTTACCTGCATATGCCACAGATATTCCCTTCTCAGCGAGGAACTTCACCCGATCTTCCATTATAGATGTGAGGTGACTCAACTAATAAATTAAAATCACTTGTAAATCCAAAGGGTCGGTCATAAAAGTGGTTCATTTTGGTTAAAAATCTTATAAATGTATAAGGTGGAAAGGTGGGCCTTTAAGCTCACAGACACACGGGGTAAAACCATCGAGAGGGCAAAAGACCCAACTTGATATATGATATTTCCTATCTGAATCTAACCATGTCATGTCAACAAATGGAAAATTCAGCTGGCTGTTTATTATCATGTTAATTATTGTGCCTCAGCAGGGGTGTCTTTTACCCCAACTACCATACTTTTACATGTTCTTCTGTTATTGAACATTAATTGCTTTAATTACCTTGAACAAAACTGAAATTCATTAACAAGACTTTTGTCTCAAAATATATTCAATAATTTATGTGATTCTCATTTGCTGCTTAAAACTACATTTAAAAAAAAAAAATTGGCGAATCGGCGAACGCATCAAGGATCAGTCAAATTTCCACGTGCATCATAAGAAACGGTTGGAATTGTGCGCAGCTGAATGATTTCAATCTCTGACTTGTAAACGCAGCCTAATGAACGTCATTAACATATAAAAGAGCGAAGTCAACATCCAAATCCTTTACTTGAGAACAGCGAGAAGCAAGAATTTAGGTTTTAGATTATATTAGAAGCTTAGATTTTCAAATACCTACAGTACTCCGATTCTGACATGGCGCTACGCACTTCTCCTCATCAAAGACCGTTTTTATAAATGCCATGGATTTTGGCGAACGCACACTCTAAGATCAAATCTGCGTTCGCTCGTTTTATAAATGAAGCCCTATAGGTTTCCAGAAAACCTGTAGAAGTCAGCCAATCAGATTTAGAGCTATGTTTTCAGTTTAAGCCCAGTAATATTCTTCAATACCGACGTTTCATCGGCTGCGCTATTTCTCTCCAGAAATGATTACAGATACAAATGTCTTTGTGCTTTTTTAAACTCGAGTTACAGTTATCTCTCACACAAGCGCTCATCAATGTGGGTGTCATTGTCATTATGTCTACAGTTGTTTGTTGTTGTTCTGTCTCATTTGTGTCTTTTTCGATTGAGAAATAATGGGCCTGTGCAGTGTTGCCACCCTCTGGACAAACTATTTAGTGGAGATAAACATCAAGGTGCATGTGTGAGCTGAGCGTAGAGTATGAGCGGTTAATAAATCTGCAGTTAAATGTGTTCTAGCTTGCTAAGTGGGATTCTCTTCAAACGGATGTTCAAACATAAGAGTAGAAAAACCTGAAAGAAAAAAAACTGACGGTAAAAGAAGACAGTTTACATTAAAGGATAATTCCGGTATTTAACACTTTGAGTCTATTTTCTAGTTTGTTTTGGATGAACTAGAGTGGTGGACTTAGAAATGTTGACGATGGGTCCTGTCTCGAGTTTTAGACTCTTTTAGGATCGCCTCTGAGCGCTTCAGAGTGGCTGTCGACCGGCATGCTCAAACATGTCCTTAAAACAACCCTTAACGTTCGTTTTCAAAACTGTGCAACTCACCGAGTGGTTAGTGGTGTTCGTTGATGATTAAAAACAAATATATCGGCGCAATGTATGATTTCAATCCGTGTTATTTGCTATAGTGGAACTATTTTTTCAGATACCTCACAACCGCGTATAAACTTCCGCTCAATATTTGAGTCCGAAGCATTAGCACACTCCCGACCACTTGATGGCGACAACCACTTTGCCGCAGTTGGTCAGCTCACGCTAGCCTTCTGAGAGACGGAGAACCGAGCGAAAAGACTACAACCAAATGTAAACAGACCCCTTTCCGTTTCCGGTAGCGCAGTAATATCAACAAGCACTGAGTCCTCCAGCAGACATCAATGCGATTTTAAAAAATGGCAAATAAAGACGACAGAAACTGTATTTCGCTACGCTACTTGTTTTGGATCATCAACGAACACCACTAACCACTCGGTGAGCTGCACAGTTTTGAAAACGAACGTTAAGGGTTGTTTTAAGGACATGTTTGAGCATGCCGGTCGACAGCCACTCTGAAGCGCTCAGAGGCGATCCTAAAATAGTCAAAAACTCGAGACAGGACCCATCGTCAACATTTCTAAGTCCACCACTCTAGTTCATCCAAAACAAACTAGAAAATAGACTCAAAGTGTTAAATACCGGAATTATCCTTTAATGCTTGCTATAGTGCCCCGATGAGGCAGTGTTGAGACATTTCCAGTGCAAAAATATGAACAATCGTTTGAGAGGGTTTCATGCCTCAGCTTGGCCAGAGGATATTTTACAAAAGACTGATACGCACCTTTAGTGAAATACTTTAGTTCACAAAGTATTTGCATAACAAGACTGACCCTCAGATTGCACCAAAATCTGCTTTTTTCAGATATCACCCAAGCCATCCAAGTTATCACCAACGTAAAGCCTCGTCAGAAGAACTTGCCCAAGAAAGTGTTTAAAATGAAAGAGATCACTTCCAAACAAGCTAGTGGACTTGAGAAGGCAGCAGGAGAATTTGTGGAGGAAGAGAAAGAACAAGTGATGGAGGAGCAGGGGGAGAGAAGAGAGGAACATGCTCCTGGAGAAGATGTGCCTGATGGCGCTCAGATCAGCAAGGCCTTCGACACGCTCTGCAACATCATTCGTGATCGCATGAGACGGGGAAGGAGACCGGAGCCCATCGCGGACTTCTTCACCAAGGGACGCTACGTACTAGTGACCGGCGACTCTAGCTACCTGGACCCGGGCTTCTGTTCAACCACCCCTTCTGCCAGTCACGTCTTTGTTACAATCCATGATGACAGGATGCCTTATGATCCTCACTGGAGAGGTGAACCTTCCCCTACCCCAAGCCCCCTACCCGGACCAACACCCCTATACCCTTCCACACCTTCAGATCCAGGAAAGGGAAAAGGCGACGGAGATGAAAGGGGAAAGTCCAAAAATGGAGAGCCTCATCCAAAGGAGAAAGAACCAGAACCGAGCCCCAGTCCTCCACCAGGTCCGCATGACAAGAAAGACCCCAGCCCTCCTCCTCCTCCGGGCCCCAGGCAGCCCTCACCCCATCGTGGAGGAAAGCCCAAGATCCCGGAGGATCCCAGCATCTTCCCACCCATGCCATCGCACACCTCCATCCCCCCGGACTCCATGAGTTATGAGAAGCTCGAGGTCATTGAGTCAGTGGAGAAGCTCTCGCCTGACAAAAGAGTGAAGGGCTATGAGGAGACAACCACAGTGGTGGAGACCATGATCGAGAAGACCAGTAGAAAGAAACATGCCGATAAATCTTCTTGAGCCACGGAAACATTTCTATTAAACCATTCTTGCCTCTGACCCGCTCCGGTATTGCCGTTGAAGAGATTCCTAGTGCTGCTGTTAACTTCCTGAACCATTGCCTTTGGCCTTTACTGTCTGAAAACTTGGGAAGCTAAAACTAAATTGCCCCATCTCCCCCCTCACACATAAGATGACTTAAAGGAGTAGTTCACTTCAGGATTGAAATGTCCTGATAATCTACTCTCCCCTACATTATCCAAGATGTTCATGTCTTTCTTTCTTCAGTCGAAAAGAAATTAAGGTTTTTGAGGAAAACATTCCAGGATTTTTCTCCATATAGTGACTTCAATGGGGTCCAACGGGTCTCGACACGATCCCAGCCGAGGAATAAGACTCTTATCTAGCCAAACATCGTCATTTTATATATATATAAAAAAGTATATACTTTTTAACCACAAATGCTGGTCTTGCACTAGCTCTGCGAAGCGCCACACATTACGTAATCCCGTGTGACGTAGGCGGAAGTACAGACCTAGTGTTTTCAAATCAAAAGTCAAGAGCCCAAACTGCAATTTGGACCTTCACAACGTTGGTTCCCATTGCAGTCCACTATATGGAGAATGTTTTCCTCAAAAACCTTAATTTATTTTTGACTGAAGAAAGAAAGACATTAATATCTTGGATGACGTGGGAGTGAGTAAATTATCAGGAAATTTGTATTATGAAGTTAAGTAATACTTTGAGAAACATGACATGGAGAACCTTACTTGCCCGTTTCAATTGGATTCACAGGCTCTATTCCAAAACCTTGTGAGCTGCCTTCTAATGCACCACCTGGTATTGAACTTTATAAGTGACTGACTTGAACGCTCTACCTGATGCATTACTTTATGCACAGGGGAATCTGTGCTCAAAAATGATGATACCTTAAAATGCTGCCTAGGCAGGTAGTTCCCTAAGTTCTGGACCAGAGCCATAGAGCTACCCTATTAACATGTACTGTATCACCCTCTTTTGCCCTTACCCTGAAGTCAAACTACAGCAAATGTTTAGTTTTATTTGCTATTATTTTGTTCAATTTAAGATGCCCACCACAGTCTTGATGTGTATTAACCGCACCAAAAATAAACATTGAAACCAAAACTCTCAACTTGTGTTGTCGTTCAGTTGTCTGTAGAGTCTTTACATGGCACTGTCACCGCCTGTTGTAGAAAACATTTTAAAGTGCAGTTTTACACAGAAACGAATGAAACGTTTTGACAGTTTTTTTAAAATGAAGTTCACTCACACAAGTTGCTCTCTGCAATTCTACTAACTAAAAGTAACTTTGCAACTACATGTCAACTAACTCTGATTAGAGTATTAGTAGACTGTTAGGGTTCGGTTTAGTAGAATAAGTTGACATGTAGTTGCAAAGTTGCTTATAGTCCGTGGAATATCTGTTTGGAGCATCAAAATAAAGTTTTTGCAGATATTACGCAGACAGTCTACTAATACACTAATGACGGCTAGTTTACATGTAGTTGCAATGTTACTTATAGTTAGTAGAATGTCTAAAGTGGACCATCGAAATAAAGTGGTACCAGAATGTTTAGTCAGAACCTTAAAGTCCCCCTGTGGTGAAAATCAAATTTTTAATGTTGTTTATATGTCTATATGGTGTTTTTAATATGCTTTAAGACACACCATGTGTAAGTTCATAAGTCGACAGCATTGCTGAGTATTTTCTGCTTAAAACTGCAGTGAACCAAAGACAGTCTCAAAAACACGGTTTGAAATCGCTGGTGTTTCTGACGCCACAAACGACCTTGTAACCAATCAGATCAACGTGTGATCGTCAACCAGTGGATCTCTGAGCTGAGTGAGTGAGTGGAGGCGGGGATCATCTGCATATTCATAGAACTGCGTATACTAAATGAGGCAATGGTGTCGAGTTACATTCAAGCTATTTTAAGGCATGAAGAAACCTTAAAGGAGAACTCCGGCGCAAAATGAACCTTTGGTCTAATAACACATTGTTACCTAGTCAACCGTTATCTGAGATTTGTTTTCATGATTATCGAATGTAAATAGTTTTATCTCTAAAAACAGTTTAGCCTATAAAGCTAGTATAACGGTAGTATATTGGGCATAGATCAATGACAAATAAAAATCGCTTGTTAATACCACTAACAAGGCTCAAAATAGCCCCACACTAACACGGTAGCATAATGAGGCTCCCTACCTTCAAACCGAAGCATTGAGAACTTTGTCAGTGTCCAGACAGTTCAATAAGAAGATATTTTAAACATACAGTCAACTTCGTGTATACAGGCAGAAGCCATCTTTGAAATACAGCCTTTACCAGTCGATCTACGAACGCCGATCCAAGCCTGCTGTTCGCGCTCACCTTATCATTCTCACCAGCGCACTTGGATCGGCGTTCGTAGATCGACTGGTAGAGACTGTATTTCAAAGATGGCTTCTGCCTGTATACACGAAGTTGACTGTATGTTTAAAATATCTTCTTATTAAACTGTCTGGACACTTACAAAGTTCTCAATGCTTCGGTTTGAAGGTAGGGACCCTCATTATGCTACCGTGTTAGTGTGGGGCTATTTTGAGCCTTGTTAGTGGTATTAACAAGCGATTTTTATTTGTCATTACACTATGCCCAATATACTAGCGTTATACTAGCTTTATAGGCTAAACTGTTTTTAGAGATAAAACTATTTACATTCGATAATCATAAAAAACAATTCTCAGATAACGGTTGACTAGGTAACAATGTGTAATTAGACCAAAGGTTCATTTTGCGCCGGAGTTCTCCTTTAACAGTTGGTTCTGCAGTCTATCTCTTTCACTCCTCTGCGTGAGCCAGTTGCAAAATGAAACTCATCCATTTTTCATTAAAATGACCTTGCGGGATACAGACGTGACCTCTGCATAATCTACTATCCAAGGTCCAGAGAGCAAGAGAGGGAGAGAGAAAATACTGAAGTATTACATTCAGGATTCAAAGAAAGCCTCTCATTTGGCCACAATGCACCTTATTTTTTTAAGTTTACATAATGCGTAGTGTTTTTCTGCGACTACAAATGTACATAGCAACTTGCAACCAAAAACAGCCAACAGTTAGGATAATGAAATATGTTACCTAGCAGAAGAATTGTTTATTCTGATTATTAACAATAACTTTATCTATTTATTTCACATTACTTAAAATTCTTATTGGATACGCCATGTTTAAAGATTTGTTGTCAGCTTCTTGGGAACCACAAACCATAGTTTGGGAGTTAGACCCCAACTCTAAACCATTGCACCCCAGATAAACCAACCCAATGGGGAAATGATTGTCTTAATCACTCAGGTGCTTTAACAAACAGCTAAATAGATTTATTATATATAGACAATGCTATGAAATATGCTTTGTTTGGCCATAAGCAGTATAATGACTCACATTCCATCTCTTCATAATAAAAACTAATCTTCTCCTCACAAAATATATTTATATATTACAGAAAGAAATATCACTGCTCTGTTTGCAAGATACTAAACTTTAAGGAGAACCACACAAAATGATTTACAGTCACAAACTGTACAGCAGAGGTGTGGGACAGCAGGGTAAGCAAGAACATAATAAAGTGTAGATATATTTGGTGTATATACATTTCTGTAAAGAGTTTAAAAAAAAAAAGTAAGTGGAATGTAATATTTTTTTCGGTGGGACATACAGTGGTGGCAAAACACACATTTGGACACTCGAGTCACACTTTTTGAATGTCTTTGAGTTTGAATGTCACTGGATTAAAAAACTAAATATCAAACCAACACAAAATGATGCTGGAGGTTTTCTGAGATATTTATTTAAATGACTTTTAGGGTGTTGGGTTCGCTTGGTCTGGACCAAAAAAAAAAAAAGGGTTCAGACGGCAGAGTTCACTATTATTCAAATGAACTGCACTAACAGAGCAATCGCTCCAGAGTTCGGTTTAATACAACCAAACAAGTGTGAACACAGCCTTGACCAACTACTATGAAATTTACCATTTTCATTTGAAGCCTGAAAAACTTGTAAAGTGTTTTGCTTTTAAAATGTGCTTGTGGTGTCTTCCTTTACAAAAACTGGCATATTTGGACTTTTCTAAGTGTGTCTTAAGTGTCCGAATAGTTTTCAGGGCCACTGTATCATTCAGAGAATACACTTTTAATATGAGAGACTCACATATGAGAGACATTCATTGAATATTAAGAAAAAAGAGAAAGCCGAGAGAGAATGGGCTAGGAATATATGCTAACACAGAGAGGAAATCATGCACATGGCTAGTTATTTTTACTCAAAAGGCTTTTCAAGCTTCTCTCCACAGCTTCGTCTAATTCCTCCTCAAGCTCTTCTTTTTTGGACATGGCCAGTTTGGACTGGTAGTCCCTCACCACTTGGTCTATGTAAGGAGCACTTTGTGTGCCGTGCAGCATGACGGTCCACTCTTTCAGCAGGCCGTTCTGCGGGGTTTCTCCCTGGAAGCCCACCTCCAGCCGCCAGGTTCCTCGGGGGTCCTCGCCCCACGTGTGTGTGGTCATGAAGGGCCATTTGTCGAAGCCCACCTTGGCGTCGTCGTCCCGGGGCCGGCGGCTCAGCAGGATGGACTTGGTGCCCATGGGTGAAGTCATGTTGACGTTGAGATCTCCGCGGCGGCTGGCGTTGACGGTGATGACGGCCTGAACGTGCTCCAGATACCGGACGAAGTTGTCCTTTCCCTGGCAGGCATCGGTTGTGATGCTCAGCACCAGTTTGTTCCCCGACTGGATTTTACTGCACAAAGAAAGAGAGCGAGATATTGTAAAATAAAAACAAAAAAACTGGCATTTAATATTGCTAGCAAGCCAGAGGCAAAAGATTAAACAATTGTAAGCTATGATGTTGGGAGATACTGTCTAACTGGCTTGTTTACAGACAACAGATGATGTTTTATCAGGTGCACTATACGCTAACATCGGCTGATATACTGTATACACAGCTCACGCTAACAGCGGCTCATATACTGTATCCACAGCTCACGCTAACATCGGCTGATATACTGTATCCACAGCTCACGCTAACAGCGGCTGATATACTGTATCCACAGCTCACGCTAACATCGGCTGATATACTGTATCCACAGCTCACGCTAACAGCGGCTGATATACTGTATACACAGCTCACGCTAACAGCGGCTGATATACTGTATCCACAGCTCACGCTAACAGCGGCTGATATACTGTATCCAAAGCTTACGCTAACAGCGGCTGATATACTGTATCCAAAGCTCACGCTAACAGCGGCTGATATACTGTATCCACAGCTCACGCTAACAGCGGCTGATATACTGTATCCACAGCTCACGCTAACAGCGGCTGATATACTGTATCCACAGCTCACGCTAACAGCGGCTGATATACTGTATCCAAAGCTCACGCTAACAGCGGCTGATATACTGTATCCACAGCTCACGCTAACAGCGGCTGATATACTGTATCCACAGCTCACGCTAACAGCGGCTGATATACTGTATCCACAGCTCACGCTAACAGCGGCTGATATACTGTATCCACAGCTCACGCTAACATCGGCTGATATACTGTATCCACAGCTCACGCTAACAGCGGCTGATATACTGTATCCACAGCTCACGCTAACAGCGGCTGATATACTGTATCCACAGCTCACGCTAACAGCGGCTGATATACTGTATCCACAGCTCACGCTAACAGCGGCTGATATACTGTATCCAAAGCTCACGCTAACAGCGGCTGATATACTGTATCCACAGCTCACGCTAACAGCGGCTGATATACTGTATCCACAGCTCACGCTAACAGCGGCTGATATACTGTATCCACAGCTCACGCTAACAGCGGCTGATATACTGTATCCACAGCTCACGCTAACAGCGGCTGATATACTGTATCCACAGCTCACGCTAACAGCGGCTGATATACTGTATCCACAGCTCATGCTAACAGCGGCTGATATACGTGCTGAAACTCCACAGGACCTTTAGGCGAGCTAAAAGCATTTCAACCGAGACAAATGTTATGCTCTTCCATAATCACTTCTCTGGAACAATGGAGACATACAGTACACAACATCCACAAAGTCCTATATCTCAACTCGTGCGTTTTATAAACAATTCTGGTTTTGATTTGATTATTTCCAGAGGTGGACAGTGGTGAAGCATTTTTACTTTACTATCTGTACTTTATCAGGGTGTTTTTCTTTGGAAAACCTTTACTTCATTCCAAAGCATAATGTTGTACTTTTTACTGCACTACGTTTCATAAATAAAAGTCCATGATGCAATTGTTTTTACCTTTAATACTTAAGTACATTAGAAATGTAGTACTTTCTTACTTGTGCTCAAGTATAACTTTAAGAAAGTACTAGATTTCCAATGTACTTAAGTATTAAACTAAATTCAGTATGAAACGTATTGCAGTAAAAAGTACGACATTATGCTTTGGAATGAAGTAAAAGTTTTCCTAAGAAAAACACTGATAAAGTACAGACAAGTACAGAGCAAAAAATACTTGACTACTGTCCGCCTCTGGTTATAAATAAGACTTTAGTTCTCTCAGCTCTCTGAGTTTTGAAAAATGAAAATCCATTTAATTTCCCCAATCTGAAGTATTTCAGTCTAAGTGAATATATTCTATAAAGAGAAAAATGTAGGACTTGCTTTTCTTGCTATTATACAATAGAACTAATTATGAAATGACATATGTGCTATTTAAGTGAGATTAGAAAGCACTCTTAAGTTCAACTAATTGTGTTTTGTATACATTTAATTTTAAACTAATACATTTTCATTTTTCATTTCATTAAGTGTCCAAAAACATTACATTCAGTTCGCTCTGAAGTATATTCTTTAAAAGTGTATTATTTCCGTAGTAATTACTCTTTTCAAGTGTGCTTTATTTGTACAAGGGTTAAGAAAGAAAACTGGGTCAGTTAATATTTCACATTGATTTTAAACCCTTCTGCAGACTTTCCCAATCAATCAGCGCAGAAGAAAAAGTCAGAAGATTGGCTGTTAGATCACACTAATGTTCCCAGTGACATTTACAGAGTTAATATTAATTCAGCGACATTACCTAATAAACAAGTATGAATGTAAAGACCTCTCTGGCCATAATGGATAGGCATCAGGCTCAGACAAATGTGTTTCGCTTCAACTACAGAAATCTCAAATAAATAATCACCAAAATTAGTATCGGTTAGGAGTGTAACGAGACCCTCACGTCACGATTCGACACACATCACGACACTGAACTCACGATACGATATTATTGCGATACTCCAAGATATTTGATAAAAGGTTAACAAAAACATTACTGTTGATTAAAATGCTAAATTATATTACGTTGTGTGTGTAAACTAATATCTTGAACTTGGTGCTGGAAACCCAAAGCACAGGACAATAGAGACACCAGAATAACAATATTCATGATTCTGAAGCTGAAAATACTGAATTATTTTAGACGAATTTGCTTTCTCTGTCACTGACTAGATATATTTATAATCAGAGTTGGGTAAGTTACTCAAAAAAAGTAATCCACTACAAATTACCAATTACTACTTTAAAATTGTAATTTGATTACATTACTGATTACTGCATGTAAAAAGTAATCTGATTACTAATTACTTTACTTTCAAGTTACTTTGAAAACATATTAAAACTACACAAAAATACACTACAAAGTGAAACTCAGTTCTTTCCGTATTTAATTGGGCGAGCTCTGTGGACCCATAGACTATTATGTCTATGTGTGGACCTCCCCCCCTTCTGCCCGCGAGTCGTCAGGGAAACGGGCCAGCCCGCTGTAGTGCCGCGCCGTTAAAGCGCCGTACTCAGCGGGTCCCCGAGCCTTCTCCAGCCCGTTAAAGCTCGCCGGTGCGCCTGCCAGCTTCACCAGCTTCACTCGAGTCGCTCACTAACGGACAACGGCCGCCGCGCGCCGCCGCTTCCGCCTTTAATGACGACGAGATAGCTGCATCTGTAGAGAAGGACCGCAGCTAGCTTTCTTTACGTTATAAGAAAGCTACCCCGCCCCCGCCCCCCGTAGACGTCTGCGTCCATTTTAGCAGCCGCGTTCTCCGGTAATTCATTAAAGCGCATGCTCATTAACTGACGCAGCCGCGCCAAACGTGATTAGAAATGTATTTTACTTAATATGTTTTCTTAACAATACATTTGTAACGTAAGTAACTTAATTTTATTGACATTAGTAACTGTAATCAAATTACATACATTTTAAATGTAATGAGTTACATTACTGCGTTATCACGAAATGTAATTACACTACAGTAACGCGTTACTTTGTAACGCGTTATACCCAACTCTGTTTATAATAAATTCGGCCACTTTTACTGGTAACATCAGACATCTGGCATTATCAGGACACACAAATATCCCCCCATTGCATTATTATACATTATATTCAACATCATATATAGTAGTTTAATGTAGTACTGACACTAAAACTATGAAAACTTGAATTTTTCCCACACACAGTAATATTCATTCTGGGTGAACTATCACAATACATATTGATGCATTTTTGTATTGCGAATCTGCGCTATATTGTGACACGATATATTGCTACACCCCTAGTCTCTGTGCAAGAGCTTGAGCTTTAATGCACAGCTTCAGTTTTCATTTCATTTCATACATTTCCAGTTCTACCATTCTGATCTTCTGCCATTTCAAAACAAGCAGCAAAACTGGGCCATGGAAAACAGTGATTATATGTTCCTCTATTTTCAATGGCACAGCCTCATGATGCCAACAATTGGTTTGTCCAGATGATGTGTTTTCCCTCTTTGTTGAGGCGCGAGCACAAAGGCCCGGCGCTGCGGACTGGCTGTTCTGATGATAACAGCGGAGGACTCGAGCGAGTGGCTGTAAAGTGGATGTAATGGCATTATCAGAGGCAGGTCTCCCAGTCTGGCCATTACAGCGCTCAGATTAGTGGGAGTGTGTGTGTGCGCGTCAGTCTTTGAGAGGCTAGTGTTTCCCGGGAAACTAGTCGATAGAAATATCCAGAGGCCACACAAGAGGACACAAGGGTGTGGGTGTGTTCGGTGCATAAAGACGAGACAACGCTTATTAAAAGGAAACATTAAGGAGATGTAAGGTTCTAGACATCTTTAGCACACCAATCTCACACAGCTAACATCCAACGGGAAGACTTTCTTGTTAATCAGGTTGTTGGCAACTATTTCGGTAACACTTTACAATAAGGTTCATTAGTTAATGCATTAACTAACATGAACTAACCATGAGCAATACATTTGTTACTGTATTTGTTAATCTTTGTCAACGTTAGTTAATAAAAATAAAGCTGTTCGTTTTTCGTTCGTGTTAGTTCACAGTGCATTAAGTAATGTGAACAAGATTTTATAAAGTATTAGTAAATGTTGAAATTAACATTAACAAAGATTAATAAATGCTATATGCGTGCAGTTCATTATTAGTTCATTTTTAATTATGGGCATTGTTACGTGCTAGCATTTTTGTCCCTCCCCTTTACTTTATTGGTTGCTGCATTTCTCCTTTCTGCTGTTGGTTCCTTTCTGTTTTCCCGCTCTCTGCTATCCTTGAGTTTGTAGGTGCTGCTATTGGTCGGAGACCACCAATCATCGGCTGTGGTTCAGGATTTAAGGCACTCTGAAGATCGGAAGAGGAGGAGTTTCTGGAGTGTTTGTTGGCTCATGCTACTGTTGTTGAGAAATACTGACTTTGTTGTGGTTCGCTTGCGTCCTTATTTGATTGTGTTTTCTTACTAGAGGACTTTTTGTCTGCACCAGCCCGGAGAGCAGAGGAAAGGAAAGTACGTCGCGTGACCTACATCTTACATGCACGCAGGGTTATAATAGTTAGACACACTAGGGAAGGAACTGTGTAATTTTTGTTTGGGTAGTTAGTGAAGTTTTAGTTATGGCGTGTTAAGCACTGAAGAATTCTTTATTTTCTGGTTTTGTTTTCAGTGAGTTTGGGGCTAAGTTAGTGTGTTTTGGTTTTGTTATTTTGTTTGTTTAGCGCCGCTCATTTTCTTTCTCTCTGTGGCTTATTTCAATTCTTATTTTTCAATGCTTTTGTGTCTTTAGCTGTTATTAAGTTTATTTGTTTGTTTTTATTTATGTAAACTATAACGTTCGTGTTGGAAATAAAGCGAACCACCTGCTTGGAGTAATTTGTTGTCTTGGCGTCATTCACCCACAGTAACTTACTCCCCAGAGACCAAAACTATAGGAGTCTGTTTTCAATTTTATTATGTAACTTACGTCCTCCTCATACCTCTATGCCACCTGAGGACGTAACAGGCATCATTCATAAAACATAAATGTAACTATTGTTACGTTAATTAAATGCAGCAATTTACATAAGAAAGTACATGGAACACGAAACAAAATGCCCATGTTTTGTGTAGTTTACGGCTGCGCAATCGTTCTACCCGAGAACAGGGAGAGGGGTACCAAGGATTGTCGTTCACAAAGGTGAAAAATGTAAAAAGCTCACAGAACAAAAAGTGTATGTTAAACGTACGTCTGCGGTCGGGAGGAGCAGAGTCTGCTAATGCCCGTGTCTGCAGCGACCACTTCGTCTGAGGTATGTTAGCTAGCTAACTTAAAGGGATAGTTCACTTTGAAATTAATTGGTCTATGGTCACCACCTCAAAGAGCATGCACAGAGAAGTCCAAATTAAACATGATTTAATGACTCGTAAATGTAAGTACACATTGATGGCCTAAGACACGAAACGAGCGGTTTGTGTGAGAAAACGAACAGTATTTATATCGTTTTTACCTCTTGTAACGCACAGACCGAAGCGCCGGCGCCCTCAGATCACTTGGACGTGGCTGTGTTTACAAGAGGTAAAAACGATATAAATACTGTTGGTTTTCTCACACAAACCGCTCGTTTCGTGTCTTAGGCCATCAATGTGTACTTACATTTACGAGTCATTAAATCATGTTTAATTTGGACTTCTCTGTGCTGCTCTTTGAGGTGGTGACCATAGACCTGCATGACTGACAGACAAGAACGGTTTGACCTAAAATATCAAAATTGAAACTACTGCGGAAACAAAGACATCTACATCTTGAATGCCCTTGAGGTAAGCTAACACATATCAAAAATTAATTTCAAAGTGAACTATCCCTTTAACTTACTTGGTTTTTGTGGCTGTGTTTGTATAGCATTAGGTTGTCATTAAACGCTCATTTACTTAGTAATGATTATTAAGTTACCGGTAGTTTAATATGAACTTCATTGGTACTATTTAGGCTGCCCTAGTACTTTGAGTGACGTAGTGTCGGTAGACTGGGCTCCGACGGTCAAACTCGGTTACCAAAAAACTAAGCCCAAATCAGAGGCGTCTCTTCAGCGAGAGCAGAGGGTGAAGCTCAAGGAAGAGCAACAAAGACTGTTGAATGTGCAGAGGCTATGTGTGATCTCCAACAGACAGCTGAGACTGACGGCAAATATTGAAGTTCTACCGAAAACTCACTCATCTTTATTGGGTACGGGTCACGTCCAACATGTCTGGTAATTAACTCCTTGTATCGATGTCTTGAAACTGGATCTAAAACCGTACAATACGGACTCTCTGCAACGGTTTCCTCCATAGACGTCTTCTCCATGTTTACTTCCTGCCCTCCGTCTAAACTCGCGCCTCATCATAATCACGTGACTGAAACCCAGCAATTCACTGCCATTATAAAGCTTGGAAGAGCCAGGACATTTTTTATTATAACTCCTGAGAGAAGAATGATGACTTGAGGATGAGTAAACTATCCTAAACTACTAGTAAACTATGGGTGAACTATCCCTTTAATTGCTATTTTTGAATTGTGCCTCGGCCAGAACTCCCAGCAGTGTTATAGGTGTGATACGGGGGTTGACACTTCGTCGATGGGGTTTTGACAAGGACACCTACATGAATAAGAGCACACACACACACACACACACACACACACACACACACACACACACACACACACAAATCCCTCATGCCAGTGGAGCTCAGGGTAATTGTGTATGTTGCCATAGCATGCAACGCCCAGCAGTGAGTGTGTGAGGAGTGTGTGTGGAGAGTCAGGAGGGCTGACACATGCAATATGCCTTAACACACACACACACACACACACACACACACACACAGACACACTCACACACTCTCACACACACACATGAATATGAGCAACAGGATATGATGTCACAGGCTCACTCTAATTTTTTGAGTCCATAACTTTCCCTAAGAAACTATCAGGCACAAGATTTGAAGTCTGTATTCAAGGTCAATCTGATCGGTCAAACGTCTTTTTGCAATATTTACATTTATTTACAGGTATGCATTTAAAAGACACTTTCATCCAAAGCGAAAAAAGAGGGGGGGAAATGTATAAGACCGAGAGCTAACATTATTTGTAATAAACTAAGCCAGGTTTATTAGAAAACGACATTAAGGAGGAACGCTAGTGAAGAGGAGACATGAATATACGGGTCAGAGTTCACTAAACTGGCTAAAGTGTGTTCTGATGTTATTATGAAATGTTTGTCCTCAGGGTTTGAGATTTAAGGCCTGTTCACACCGGGACGAATTTCGCGCGCAATATTCGCCGACGTTTAACGCCTCGTGACTAAACAAAGGCCGCCAATGTGAGTGTGCACACCGACGCGGAAAGCGCCACGCGTAAAAGCGTCATTTTTTAAAAAACGCCTCGGGTTCGTTTTTTTAGTTTGACGCGCCGCGTCAAAAACTATCCAACCAATGAGATTGCCGCTTTTGCTCACGTGTCTGGAGCTTCTGAAGTTACAGTAAAACACACCTTGGGGGCGCTCAAACACAAAACGGTCTTGCCGAGCACACATACGTAACGGCGAAGAAGATATACGCCAAGTAGCGTCAACACTGCCGAGGAGAAATAAAACGAGGAAGACGCGAGGCCAGATGAATGTAGAGCTGCTGGTCTCAGTGTCGGAACATAAAGAACTATATGACAAACGCCACAGCGACTACAACAATCTTGATAAAAGAGAACTGGTATGGAGTGGTATTGCAGAGCAAATGGACGCCATCTAATGTCAGGGAATGAATCTGCATGTTCACTCGGCTCATCGTCAGCGAAAATCGCTTGGGTGTGAACACAAAAAACGTGTTGAAAAACACTGGCGAATAACACAAGCCGATATTCGTCCCGGTGTGTACAAGCCTTAACACCCGATAACTGCGGGTAACGATCAGCTGGCGGGAAACGCTGTCAAATCACACGTTACTTATTATGTTTACTCACTTTGCCGGGGAAGTTCGAGTAAGACAAATCTGCACAGGTTTAACACAAATACTCGTGAGTCATGAATCATGATATATTAAATTGTGCAGATCTGCTCAAATCTGGATTACTTGAACACACACGTCACTACACAACTAATAACGGCTCGCTTGTTCATTTGCATTGAAGCAATAGCGAAGATTAAAGAGCATTTCATTGACAGAAAAGACACTGTTATTTTCCAGCATCCTACATTTTTGGATGTTCTCTGTCCTGTGTTGATCTGTCCATCTAAAACACATTTGTGGTGATGAGGATGAAAGAGAAAGAGAGGAGATGCTGGATGACAGGATTTTGTTTGAATAAGAAAGGAATGTTTGAAATCCAAATGTTATAATATATGTAAGCTGTGACGTAGATCATTGATATATTTCCTCTTTTTTTCTCTCTCTCTCTTTTTTTTTTTTTGGCTAGTAGAAGTTCTGAATGGCCGGCAACGCAAAACTTTAGTAGTCAAATTGGCCATTTCAAACCCTGTTTTTCCTTGTAATCTTTTATCAAAATGTAATAACTTGAGCCAACTTTGTGGCCTTTCCTTTTAGGCTGACGTCACAAGTCCCTTTTATTTTTCAACCATTTGGCTCAGTTCTGGTAATAAACGCATAAGGCCGATCACAATCCAGCCAATCCCTACCCTTCATCCTCCTGTTCACTCGGAAATATCACTGTCCGATTGCTGGAGTACAATGTTTGCAAACAGCACTGCATGTTGTAGTCTTTTCTGGTGTGTTTGTACTCACTGTATCTCCTGCACGGATCCAGCCACGCAGTGAAATCGTTCGGGAACCGTCTTCCACTCGCGGGCGAGTTTGACCATTCCTCCGGCGTCTAACACACCGTATCCGAACAGATGGTTGAACTCCAGGCCCACGCCGTTCCTCCTCCACTGGTGCACCTCGTCATGCAGTTTATTCCTCTTAGACGTGAGCACTGTCAGATGCTGCAAGTCCCGCCAGGTCAAGTTCGGACTGCAGGAAAACACACACACACACACACACACACACACATAAGAAGAAGAAGACGTTTTATTTATACAGCGCCTTTCCGTAGCTCAAGGCCGCTTTACATTGTACATTACAACACACCCACACACACATTGCAAACACGTAAGCACACATAGCCACATTATCCAAAGTACATGTTAAATAGATATGTCTCAGTCCAGTCTTAAAGGGACGGTAGCCATAGATGAGAGATTACGAATTGTAAGTGAATTCCATAATTTAGGAGCATTGACACTAAAAATAAAGGAAATATAGTCAAGCCAAGGAAAAAAAACTGCAAGGATAATGGTTTTTTGTCATTATATGAAACATTCAAGCCTCCTTTATGCTCCCAGTCCTAATAGATATCATATCAATCTAAAATAAATGTGCTCTATTGAGTCACTGACTTCCTGTAAAGACCATATAGCAACGCATCAACAAAACCCTTACAGTCGCGTACGCTTTCTCACGAGTCCTCGATGAGCAGCGATGAGCACAGCGGATGTTGATTTCCCTGATTTACTGACTACTCTCTGACTATTAATCCTAGAGACGGCCAGGACGACTAACATCACGTATCAGTGATGGTTTATATTTTATTACTACACAGCTCTCAGGAATACTTCACTCTGATCAATCACAAACATTTCTGAAGACCCATCGCTCATCCCTGCTGTATAATCTAACAAAGCCGTCTCTGGTTGTAGTAAACATGGGCTTGGAGGTCTTATGCTTATGGTGCAGTGTAAGAGAAAAAGAAAAAGAGTAGGGCGGGACTTGATTCTGTGCATCGGTTGCTGATTGGATGATGAGATGTGGGCGTGGCACTCATAAGTGTATGCAGATGAGCTGGCAGGGGCGGAGTTTAAGTGCAGTAAATGATTGGAGAGGAGACTGATGTTTCACCACATCCAAGTTTTACACTTTGATTGAACATTACTAAGTAAAAAATAAATAAATAAATAAACATGAGACACATGCATCGATGATGGTTCAGCATAAGATCTATAGCATGCATTTAGAAAATTATTAGGGTGAATTTTCGTTTTAATGCTGACGTTAAAATAGAGGAAAACAAGTAACTTAGATTGCATTTTAATAATAATGCATACATTAATGTTGTAATATTGTTGCTGTCTGGTCTGCATCTAGTTCCTGTGGTAATGGACTACTTTTCTTAGCTGAAGCTTTAAGCTACAAGAATTTAATTACAACTCCAATTAATATTTTATACCTGTGCATCCTAGTAAAAAAAAAAACTATACCAAAATGTATTTAAAATACATTTATTTCATATTAAGTATACTTTAAATACATTAAAGGGATAGTTCATCCCTTGTTGTAGAATTACTGACAGAGTTTTCATTTTTGGGTGAACTATCCCTTTAAGGTATTTATTGACATATCACTTAAGACTTACTGATATAAAATTATAATTAAACTTTATTTGGAGTATTTCTTTATTGCACAATGCACATGTCCTAATATTATGCCTAAAATGTGTTTTAATATCAGTATTAATAAGGATTGTGTGATCTCTGTATAAAATCAGTCTTTAAAGTGTAGCGTAAGTTTATTTGCAATAGTCCCACTTTAGCACAATCGAGTATACTTAAGTATATCTTTGGTAGGACTTCAGCACTACTTCTGCACAATTAAAGTGTATTAAGTACAAAATTAGCAGACTTTAAGTTTACCAGTTTAGTAAACCAAAAGTACAATTGCAGGGAATTTTTATTAAGCACATAAATATGTAAATGTATTTGTAGTATTTTAGAACAAAATAAATGCATTGCAAATACATTTTAGTATTTTTTTTACTAGGGTATTTATTCTATAACGGTATACTTACAAGTATACTTGAACTGTGTATTGTGAAACCTTGAAGCCTGACTGTATAAAACCCTTCAGCCATACTTCTGCTCAGGTAAACAAACACATGCAACTGAACCTGCAGTTTACAATGCGTATTTGCTTCTGGCTGAACAGAGAGCCCTGCTCTTTTGCCGCCTACATCATTATTTAGTACTGAGCAAACACAAAGACTTTACGCAGGAAAGGCCGTGTCAACAGTTATTAACACCAGTCCTACTGACATGTGTGAATGGAAGCAGAAATTATGTGGCGAAACTGACTCTTTCCCACCAATTCCTTTTTACAAAGCTTTCTTAACCAAGTGTAATGAACTGGCCTTAATCACTGTCTGTGTTATGAGTCAAACCCCTGTTCCCCTGTCGTGTGTGTTCCTGGACTTGTGTGTTATTTCATGTCTTTTGCCATGTTTTGCAGTTCTTGTAGGTTTAATGTTGATTAGTCTCCCCAGGTGTGTCTTATTAGCCACGCCCCCTTGTTATCTTGTACGCTTGTCTGCCTGTGTGTATATAGCCCTTTGTTTCACTTGTTCTCTGTCAGTCATTGAATGGACATTCCCTGGTTGGTGTGTTTCACCCTTTCATCACTTACTTTGTGTTGGGATTTTAATAAATCTAACCCTGCATGTGGACCCTCTTCCCAGCCTGCTTCTTTGCTTGTCTCAAATGTTACAGTCTGTTTGGTTCCTAACTAAATTAAAACTATAAAAAAAAATTGTGATTTTCGGCTCTGACTTTCCACAACTAGCCTTGACTCGTCCAGACTGAAAACTGGGGCAAAAATCTGGGCAAAATGAGTGTAGTGTATTCCGGTCTTAAGCAGCTACATGCAGTATTAGTACCAAGCAAGGCAATTTATCTCTTTAATTGTTGCAGTATATTCATTCTCGTAGCTCTATCTGTTCCTCCTGATCACTGAAACTGCAGTTCCCTTTCTGTCAGTCACGTTCGACATTGTGTCAAGTGGCGACATCAGGGATCATACTTGGGAGTCTTAATGTGATGATACACAGGGCAACTTTATGAGCAATGTTGCTGGGCAATCTTGCTGAGCGATTGTTGCTTGGGCACTTTCCCATTGAAAATGGGCAATGCATTTCTATCTGGATACTTTAGGTCGGTCGTGGGCCCTGTGTCTCATCTGGTTGCCAGTTGACGGCAACATTGCTCAAAAAGTTGCCCTGTGTATCATCACCTTTAATGTCATCACTAGATCTAAAGTCTCTGTTTCCTCCATCAGGGAACGAAGGTTACGTCAGTAACTGCGACGTTCTTCATTTGTATTTTTAACTTGCTCCTCATCTCCAGTAAAGTATTAGTTCTGGCTATTCTTTTTGCATTCTGTTTGTTCCCCATTTCTGCTCTCTTACGGCAATTGCTTTATCTGTGATGGCGTTCTCAATGAGAAGAGCTCGTCCTGTTTCTGCCCCAGATCCTGCTTTCTATTATGCGCTTGTTTATTATTAGGATTAACCTGTTTTTGTTTTCTTCCATTTTTTCAATTTTTCAATTTGTAGCAGTAAATGAAGAGATGTCATATCAATCACAAGTTCAGTATGGAGTACCACAAGGCTCAGTACTAGGACCGTTGCTGTACATGCTATCCTTGGGAGATATCATTAGGAAGCATGGCATTAGCTTTCACTGTAATGCCGATGATACTCAGCTCTATATTTCTTCACGCCCCGACGAAACTTACCAATTCACAAAATTAACGGAATGCATACAAAATTAGCTGACTAGTAATTCCATACTACTTACTTCTGAAAAATAGAAGTTTTAATTATTGGACCAAAAACCTCCGCACATACTGCAATAACATATAATACTGTCTAACACTTGATGGATGCTCTGATAAGTCTTTGTCGTCAGCCTGGGTGTGCTCTTTGATACCAATCTTTCATTTAAAAGCCACATTTCTAGCATCTATAAAACCACATTCTTCCATCTTAAAAATATATCTAAATTACGACAGACAGACTGATAAGACACAAGATGAGCATTCAGTGAAAACAACAACTGAGATAACTAAGAGTGAACCAAGTCCAGGTAAGTTGTGCAATATTATTATAATAATTATTATCATTATATAATAATCTTGGGATTCAGAACGATGATCAAAACACAGATGGAGTAGATTGTGTCTTAAAGCTTCACAGTCGTTTCCCCCTTCATGGGTTTAACATTTCATTCAGTAACATTGCTGTTGAATGTTTGATGATCACGTGAGTTTACATGTTCGTATGCAATGCTTCTGTTGCTCGTTTCTGCTTCTTCACTCGTTTATCCAAAGTGTAACAGCACCCCCTACTGTATAACTATGAAAACATGGATTGCAGAAACATTCGGTCAATGGGAGGGAAAGATAGCCTGGGAAAACCCAGACAACTTCCGGCAAATTTAGATTTGCTCTGAAAGTTAGTCTGGCTAAGAGCTCATTCAAGCCCATTTCCAATCCGCCGAAATCGCGGCACCAATCAGAAACGTTGGGGCGGGCTTTACACGATGACGACAGCGCTGGGATTTTGAAGCAGGTTTTGTGGCCTACATTACAAAGATGGATGCCGCCGTCGAACATCACTCGTTCCAATCAGCTATCGTGTCTGTTTTAAGAGATTTGAACGTTTCCTTTTAGTTAAAAACCGAGCAAAGAACAACACTCGGAGATGTGTCTCCGCCGCTCTGCATACGTCATCTCCTTCATCGCTCTGATTGGGTTTAGGTCTATCCGCGACGTCCGTTGGTGACGCCCCTCTGGAAATGATTTGTCTATGACGCTTTGCCAGACCATAACTCAGTTACAACTGAGAATGCTCTGGTTTTAACCAGGCTAAGGGAAAGAGTTAATACCTGTACAAGAGCGAGAGAAGACAGCCAACCCAGTGATACAAAACCCGAGTCCCACACCCTTCTAATGAGCCTGAAGCACCAGATTCAGTCCAAATATGATTTGTTTCCTGGCATTCATTGAAACATAGGGTAATTATTGGCTTGAACCAAAAGTGACTTTTAATTTCTTTTTCATGAGGCGATCAGCAATATTCATGCCAGTTCTTCATCAACAGCTGGAAGTATGTGGATATGAAGTGCCTCAGCCGAGGGTTCAGAAATGAACAGTGATAGTGGTGCCAGAGCCCTATCTCACACTGTACCACACATTTACGCTGAAGAAAAGCGGTGTGTATCTTTGTCATGTTGCACAGATGCTCCGGCTACTTTATTTTTTTCTGTTTATTTCAAGTACAATTAACTTATAACAGCTTATTCTGGCTATCCATGTTTTCACTGTTATACGGTAGGGGGCGCTATTACACATCATCTACTGAAATAGTACACAATGTTCAGATCCAAAAACAAGCGAAGAAGAAGCAGAAACAAGCGATAGAAGCATTGCATACACTCATGTAAACATTCAAAAGCATATAAATCAAAACTCACTAACTAGTACTGAATGAAATGTTGAACCCATGAAGAGGAAACGACTGTGAAGCTGTTGATGGACTCGATCTACTCCACCATCGCTCTGAATCAGTTTCAGACGAAGTCTTTGACAAATTAATCTATTTTTTTGTTGTTTTTTTTATATAAAACTTACCCACATTCAAGTGTTAATAAAAATAATGAATGAAGCTAGAATACATCTTTTTGTTTTTTGTTTAAAGTCTGTCAATTTTTTAAAACAGTGCTGGTGTGCAAAGAGTTTAAAATCCAATTTCTTTAGATACAATATGTTTTCAAAACGAGTAGCAAGACTTAACCTGCCAACAAATAAACATTCATGTTGCTTATTTGGCAGGTTATGCTATAACAGCATCATTCAACTCTCAATTTATTGGGAATGCAGGTTTAGGTATGGCATCAGCACCATTTTGTTGTCGAAGGGGTATCAATCATGCATGAGGCAAGGCTTTCTAAACCCAGAGTTGTGCTTGTGTTGCTGCTCCGACACAAACCTTGTCAGCAGTAATCTACGATCTCAGCCGGAGTCTGCCAGCGCCGTGTGTACGCAAGCTGCCTTATTGTTTCATAAATATTTCATAGGAGCTCACTACTCATCAGAGCTGTACGCTGGAAAACAGAAGTGTACATACTTGGCCTCCAACGCCAAGGCAAACACTCCGGCAGCCTCAGGGGCAGCGGCAGATGTGCCCGAATGACGCAGTGTGCAGTTTCCATACAGATCCGTGGTGGCCTGGAGACACACAGACAAAGAGAGCGTCTTAATTAAACATTAGTGCCAAAGATATGCTAATTACACTTAAAAAAATGCCTTTGATATTCTAATTCAGTTGAATTTGAGGTAGCAAACAGGATGCACATTTCTAGCCGTTCCAATGTTATATATAACAATATTTTTTGAATTATTATACCATAATAATCGCGAATTATCTGCATCCAAAATAAAAGTTTGTGTTATTATACGTGTGTGTACTGTGTCTAATTATTTTGTATATATAAATACACACACATGCATGTATATATTTAAGAAAAAATGTATGTTGTAAATAACATATAAAATATTAATATTTAAATATAATATAAATTATGTATAAATATATTTACAGTATGTACATGCACATTTTTTTTTAAATATATACATGCATATGTGTGTATTTATATATACAAAATAGTTATAAACAGTACACACACATATAATAACACAAACTTTTATTTTGGAAGCGATTAATCGTTGCCCAGCACTAAAAGTAACTTAAGCAAACTGACACTGGAAGGTCACATGATAATGACAACATGGTGGATGTAGTATGTCCGAATTTTTTAAAGGTCGCAAAGTAAGTCTCAAACCAAATGTATTTCCTTCTACAGTTTGCAAATTCGGACGCAGCATACGCCAATCAATGAACATAGACAAATAAAACTGACCTGGGAACAGTCCAAAACTAACTCAAAGACGCACCACACGTGAGAGGACTGTGGTGGAAGAACACAAAGGAGTCAAAACAACATAAAGCAAGTGTACAAGGTGGAACAGCTGAAGAAATCATTTGTTCTTGGCCATTAGTTGGGGTGTTGTACTAATGAAATTCCTCTTTTGTGTGCCAAACAGTTCAATTTGTTCAAATTGTTTAAATGCAATTCAGTAAGTTCCTGTCATTCACATTCCAAGTCATTGTCCTTTTAGTTGTTGCTGATTCATATTCCAGCTCATCAACTGAATGGAAGCCAAATCATGAATTCTGAATTCTTCCCAACTGTTGATCACACACAGGACTTGTAATGAAGCTTTTGCTGAGTGTAATGAGTACTGATACCCTGCAGAATCTCAAAGCTTTATTCGTCAACACAACGCTCTGAGGTGATGTAGACACTGGAGTTTCATGATCTATCAAAGGCAGGAGATGAAACAACCATATTTGATGGATGGAAGTTAGTACTTGTGACCAATTTTGACTGATGTAGGCAAACCTTAATAAAAGCAATGACATGAAAGCAAAAAGGGAATTATTTAGTGCTTTGTTCTAGTTGATGTGGGTCTTATCTGTGTAAATATATTTGAATAAATACCATATTGTCAAAGAAAAATGATTTTCCTTCTTTAAAGAAATAGCCACAGTAATAAACCCATTTGCTGTGTGTGTGTGTGTGTGTGTGTGTGTGTGTGCACAGTTTTATATTACAAGTAGTGCTGTCAAACGATTAAAATATTTAATCGTGATTAATCGCATTAATATCATAGTCAACTCGCGATTAATCGCAATTAATCGCACATTTTTATCTATTCTAAATGTCTCTTGATTTCTTTTTGTCCCATTATTTTTTCTCATTTTAATGCTCTTATCAACATGGAAAAGTGGATCGGCTTGCTTTGTGCAAATGTTTTTTATTGAAAACAACATTGGCATATACTGTGTTCAATTTCACACTAACATTCTCACTTGGAGCAAATAATCTCTCAATGTAACACTGTCCATCAATAAAAGAGTGAAAGAAATACTGACGATTGACGAGGGGGCGGAGAATTCGAATCAGCTGTGTGTGTGTGTGTGTGCTTGGCCATCATCAAGCGGTGTTTCAGACAGGACGCGCTGTGCTGATGATAGCTCAGTTCACAACGACAAAACACACAGATCACTTTGGTCTCGTCAATGGAACCATTTGGCAACTTTTTTTAAAAGTAAACTCTCCATTCAGAATCTTATTGGCGTCCATTTCAGCGTCTCTCGATCGTCATCCACTCAAAACGTAACGTTAACCAACTATTTGGCCGGCTCGCAAGCCCAAACAAGTGTGCGGCGTGCCTGTTGTTGTTTCTGGTCTAGCTAGATCCGCTCGCGCTTTGGTCAACGAAGCAACAAAACGTCCTCGCGCGGCGCAAGCCATTGAAATGAATGGGTTTCATAGCGCAGCGCCGCATCCTGTTGCAAAAGCATGTGAAAAAACTACAAAGTTTGCTAGGCCAAAAAGACCGTTAATCGCGCGATAAAAAAATTAACGCCGTTAGAATGGGTTTGGGTTAACGCCGTTAATAATGCGTTTAACTGACAGCCCTAATTACAAGTAATATGTAAATAAAGACCTGAGTCTAGTATAACCTGAGATCACTGACATTGGAGGGACCAACCACGAGGGAAATGGATTAATAAACATAGCAAATGATGTTTTTTAGAAAATGTAAAAATACAAAAAGATGGGTAGGCCCATGATTGGGGACAGAAAATACAGTTTGCACAGTATATTATTACGTCTCAGTCCCCACAAAGATAGAGAAACCGAGTTTTTAACGTTTTAATTGTCTTTAACAGTTGCTCTCAGTCGCGGGTCTTTCATGCAGAGACTCTCCTCATATTCATGCATAATGATAGCCTGGCTAACGCCAGACCCAATTCTCGTTGAGACTTGGGTCTGGGAACCACATGTTCATTTTCTCGTATTTGAGGTGTGGTTTACGAATGCCCAGAGCCGTTTATTGGGTGCTACGAATGTCTATCAAATGCGCCTGTACGTAGCTCATAGCCAATCGTTTCGATTATACCAGATGACGTATGTAGAGCGACAGAAATAAGACGAGGGAGACGACGATGGCCGATGCATTTTTCGGCGTGCATGTTAAGCAATGAGTGCATTCACACCGGGAGCAGGAGCAGCGCGTGAGCGTCGAGCAGGAGCGGCGCGTGAGCAGCAGTGAAGCGGGGGTTTCGAATCTGTTTTTTGCTGCATTGCTCACGCTAAATTAAAGTGAAAGCACACTTTTGATGGACAAAAATAAATGTGATTTCACACAAAAATTGCCACAAAAAGTTTTAACAAGAACTTGAGTAGGCAAATAAAAGAAAATAAAGACTCTAAAATATTTATAGAAGATTTACCCGGTACAAACTTGTTTTTAATTATTCAGTTTGGGTGAAAGTTGTGTATTATATAAATTAAAAAAAACTAAAGTAAACTAGCCAGAAAATATATATAAACGTTAGTTCATGTAACGTTAACACACAGACAGCTACAGGCTAGCACAACCCAAATCAAACCCGACTGTGTGGTTTATTTGTGTGTTTTGTTTTTTATCCGCGGAGTTGCGGTCTTGTAAACATCGAAAGTATGACTGAAAATAATAGATTGGAGCCATTTTCTGGGTTGTTTTGTTGTATTACATTTAACTTATATGCGAATGTTGTACACCTCCCCATTACAAACTTTCAAGACTATCAATGTTATAAAATGACCAACTTCTAAAAACAAATGTATAGTTGTCTTTGTAAAGAATTGCTCGCTTATATATAATGCCGAAGTCATATTTCAATGTCTTTGGAAAACAAGAAAAAACACAAAATGACTTAAGCAATTATGCTATGAGGCTAACGATATGTAGCTTTGGAGCCGCTGCTGTGACACTGTCTACAAACGCTTCCAGTGTGAATACTCTCGCGCGTCTGCAGCTGCAGTGACGATGTAGTTACGCTGACGCGCTGCTCAAATGCCGCTCACGCTTGCGGTGTGAAACCTATGTGTGAAACGGCCGTAAGGCTGCATCGAAAGGTAACTTCGCGTCTACTGCCATGTTTGATCCATAGGTATAAACAAACTGCTTCGGTGTGTCGCATAGACGCGTCATCGTCTTGCTGCTCCCTCCCCGTTCTGTGATTGGTTCCCTAAATGAGGCGAAAATTTGGTCCATTGTATCCAGACAGCGTGAATAAAATCGCGCTGCGGGAAGGCAGTATGGGGAAACCCAGACTAGCATAATGATGCATTTGAAAGTTAATGGCCAAACTGATCTTTATAAATGTTCGCGTTGTTGTTGCAAATGAAATATAACACAGAAAACCTTACATAAATATTTTAATCAGCTTAAATGTTGATTATTAGTCATTCAAAACCCTTTATCTAGACCTCTGCCATGTTTTGTAGTTTTTCTGAACACTTTTTACTTGTGTTTGTACAGTAGTTCTGGATCCTCATCCAAAGCGCAATGGGTTGTGGGTAATACTCTTTTTTTAACATACTATGCTTTGGGACACACTTATTTTAATCTCACACACTGTTGAGGATGATAGTATGGACATTGAGACGCAGGGTGTTAGTTCAGATGGCACGCAAGAGCTTGCTATAGCCAATACGCTGAGTTTCTATTCATTTTTGTGACACGCTCCACTAATTTTAAGGAAAGGAAACTGGGATGACAGAAAGCAGCATTCAATTTGTTCTCTTTATTTTATATATAAAAGATGGCAGTAACATAAAAATAATTCATATAACCTGTGTGCTACATTTCTTCTAAAATCACACAATAGTTTTATGTGAGGAACAGATCAAATTTTAAGTTTTTTAGTGATAATACTCTAGCCTGACTTCGTATAGAAGTCTGTATAGAATATATACTCATATTCTAGTCAGAATGTGAGTCTGATACTGCTCCATGGAGCTTTGATTATGAGGCGTGTCTTAACCGAACCAGGAAAAAAAACAACTCTCTGCACTCAATTGGATAGACCTACAACCAATCAGAGCAACGCAGTAAGTGTTTTTTTATGAGCTATGCAAAGTCAACAGAACTACACGCACGCTGGAAGAAGTAGTAAAATAACGAGTGTTGCTTCTTTTACTTGGTCCTCCATGAGTGCGACCAAAGGAGAAACCACAACGACCACAGGGTTTTCATTGCGTTCCCTCTTCTTAGCGACCATCGGAGCCAGCTGATAAAATACACTTTTGCCGAATCCCGTAGGAAGGACGGCAAACACATCTTTCCGATTGACAAATGCCTTGATTGCAGTTCTCTGTTCGTCTTTTCGTCTTTTAAAATGGATGCGCTGTCGATTTCTTCTACAACAGGGCCAGCGGGATCTCTACATCTCAGTTCTCCAGCTGCAGTCATCTCTGAGGGAAACCAGTTCAACCCAAGCGCATCATCTGTCTATCATCGTATAAAGCCCGCCCTGGCAATTTGATTGGCCCGACTAATTCTGAACCGATCATAATTACTCCTCAATGGATCGAGTCCAGACCGAACTTCCCGACCAAAAAATGTTGTGGGCGGGGTTCGGGCTGGCATCCAGGCTAATAATACTCCCCTTTTGCCATTTATTTTGTATTCAGGGTGGTCGCCCTGACTGAACCCAGACTGACACGAGCCAATTCCCTTCTTTCCATTGACAGGATCATCTCCGACAGACTGACCACAGTCTTCATCTCAGACCCTTTCTGGGAGTCTGCAGATATGCTCTGATTGAGTTCCTAGCTGAATGCATCAAATGCCATTTTCGAGTCATTTTTCAGACACAAAATGCATGAAACAATTAACTTTCCATCATTTTATCACTGTCATACTCTGCATTATCACGCTGCGCAAAGGGATTGCAATTCAGAAAATACTCTAAAGCACCTAAGAACAGCACACTCTTGAGAACCAAATTCATTCTGGTTGTAAAAATGTCGAGACAGGATCAGACTCGACATCACACAACGAGGACGGATGTATCCCACACTTCATTGCCTTTCACAGCAACACATTTTTCATTTGTGTTTGTGATAAAAATAAGGGAAAAAATAGATAAGAATTTAGAGATAATGATAAAATGACAACGAAAGAATAAGAATAAAAAAAAAAGAAATAATTAATGGTATTAATGTTGAAATAAATGTAATTTTAATAAAAATCATTAAAATAGGTTGGAATTATTCTGCCCTTATAATAAAAAATCATACATAATCATAAAACATAAAATTATAAACAATGGTAACACTTTATTTGACATATTTATGTATGATGCACTATGGTATTTAATGCATTATATCTTTTCATAAATAATTGTAACCAAAGTTAAAATGTACTTCAATATTAGCAGATTCCTTGTTACATCTGATATTGGTTGTTTGTCATGTGTTTTAATGCATTATACTTTCTAAAGGTGTAACAATGAGGAGCTGGTGGAGGTGGTTACTCGCGCTGTGTCTAAACCGAACATTGACTGGCGGTGCCTTCCCTTTTTTCCCAATCTCCATGACGAGATTGTGGCGAGCAGGACGAGGCCGAGGGCCGTGAGAGAATGGCGCGAGGCCGGTGGCGTGATTACTAATGAGCGACACCTTCGCGACGCACCGGTCTCGTGTCTCTCACGGAGGAGCGGAAGCATAAAAGAGGAGCGACGACTGTGGAGATCGAGAGAGGACAGGCCTGAACTTATGTTGTGTTTTGTTTTATTATAATGTGACAGCAGTCGTCCGAGATGGGGTGCTGTCTTTTACTTTCATTTTGTATTTGTTTTATTTTGTCATTAACGTCTTTGAATGTTCGCCGGTTCCCGCCTCCTTCTTCCCACAACATCTGAACTGCGTTACAGAGTTATTGAGAGTGTGGAATAAGCAATACTCATCCCGTCTTTTCAGCCCCCAAGTGCATGTATACTCAGATATACGGGGGTTGAAAGAGTATGGTCATGGGGCGAAGCCTAGGGTTGGTTGCGAGCTATCTGTCCCATAGCTCAGCATCGTCCCTGAAGGCCCCGACACTGCCCACTAATAATAGAATAGAATAGAATGAGGCATTTATATAGCGCTTTCATATGTACTACGGTACACCCACACCGCTTTACAATCATGTCAGGGGATATCTCCTCAACCACCAGTGTGCAGCTTCCACTTGGATGATGCGACGACAGCCACAGTACAGCGGCGCCAGTGCACTCACCAGCTATAGGTGGAGAGGAGAGGGTGATGGAGCCAATTCACTGGATGGGGATAATTAGGAGACCATGATTGGCAAGGGCCAATGGGTGGAATGTGGCCAAACATCTGGGGCTGTTGGGCGTGAGCCTTCGAGCACCCCCAGGGTGGTGAAGCATATATGGGAGGTTGGAAGTGGATGTGTTTTTGTCTCAGGATACAACGTCCTGTCCACTTTTGTTCTCCTTCACACACACCCCGGGGCTGGATGTTATGCTACAGACATGGCCGAGGCTACATCTGTACTCTTTTCCCCCATTTGCTCTGCTCCCAGGAGTTCTGGAGAAGATCTGCTGGGACGGAGTAGGTTTACTGCTAGTAGCACCGTACTGGCTGAGCCGAATATGGTTCTCGGACCTAATGTCTCTCCTCGAACGACTCTCCCTAGGAGATTCTGGTCAGGAGGGAACTTCTGTCTCAGGCGGGAGGCACCGATCCTTCACCCCAGCCCAGAGATATGGAAAATGTGGGTTTGGCCTCCGAGGGGGCCCAATTAATAGACTCAGATCTCTCAACCAAGGTTGTAGAGACTATACTTCACTCCAGAGCTCTGTCCACGAGGAAACTTTACGCCCTGAAGTGGAGAGGCTTCACTTTTTGGTGCAGAATGCGACAGTGGGATCCAGCTAACTGCCCGGTTGGTGGTAGAGTTTCTACAAGATAGTTTTTATGTTGGTCTATCCCCTTCCACATTAAAGGTTTACGTGGCAGCCATAGCAGCTAACCATGTCCCTTTGGGTGGTGTATACATGGGGAGGAATAACATGTTATTACGTAAAAGGGATCCTGGCTCTTGTTTTAGAAGGCTTATCGGCAGCTCCCATCGAGCCCCTTGATACGGTTCCAGAAAAATTTCTGACCTTAAATAGTATTCCTTCTAGCCACTCTTAAAAGAGTAGGAGATCTTCAGGCCGTATCGGTATCCTCCACATGCCTGGAGTTCGCACAGAGGATGGTCGCGGCATTCCTCTACCCTAAACCAGATTATGTCCCTAAGGTGCCGACCAACATGCCACGGCCTATCGTTTTGCAAGCCTTCTGCTCTCCTCCTTTCAGAGATCAGGACCAGGAAAACCTGAACATTGTTTGTCCAGTTACAGCGCTGGATACATATGTCCACAGAGCTGGCCTCTGGAAGAAATCTGATCAGCTGTTTGTCTGTTTTGGATTTCCTAAAAAAGCAGACAATCAGCAAGTGGATAGTCGAGGCTATTTCTCTTGTCTATGAAGTCTCTGGTCAGCCGTCACATTTGGCTATAAGAGCTCACTCTACTAGAAGTATGCCGGCCTCCAAGGCCTTAATTTGGGGTTTATCCCTACAAGAAGTTTGTGATGCGGCAGGCTGGTCGTCTCTACTCACATTCATAAGGTTTTAGAGCCTGAACCTGGATACTGCCCCAGGGTCTCAGGTGCTTATGACTTAATTTTGCCACAGTTTCACACGGAAAAGCAATTGTAAGTACGGCTTCAGGCATTATCATTCCCAAAGAATCATCCACGCAGCGCGAGTTTCCTCGAAAGGGAATGTCTCAGGTTACGACTGTTGCCATAGTTCCCAGAGAAGGGAACGAGACACTGCGTCGCCCTGCCATACTTCCTTCATCCCTGTGATCGACTTGCCTTGGCTTATTGAAGCTAACGCCGGTCTTTCTGCATTTGATTTTATTCTTTCCTGGTCGCGACGTCCCCAGCCCGTGACACACTAGTTGACACACGTGCTTCCGACGCAATCACGCAGAGGCGTTCCCAAAGCGTCATAGATGCAATTATGGTTACAGTCATAACCTGAGACGGTTTCCATGTTTTATGGGGACTTTCCATAGACATAATGCATTTTATGCTGTTCAAACTGTATATTCTCTCCACTACCCCTAAACCTACCCATCACAGAAAACTAACATTTGCATTTTTTTGTCCTCATAATGTAGGGTTTACCAGGACCACACACACACACACACACACACACACACACTCACAGACACTTACTGTACACACACACACACACACACACACTCACCACGCCAGCTTCAGGGTTTCGTTTACGGCCATTGCTGAAGGTGGAGGCTAGGGTGGAGGAGCAGCTTTCATCATAGAGTGCAGTGCGTCCATCGTTGATGGCTGAGTTAATGGAGATGGTCCACATGCTGGAGGCGTATCCATCGCAGTTACAGTCGTCATAGCTACCACCGTCTCCGGAGGCCCACACATAGATGCTGCCTTTCCCACCTCGGCCCTGTTGGACACGCAAAGCGGCACGATTAGCACCCGTACTCACGCCTGCTACATCTCAATAAGGAGCAGTCGACTCTCTTTGATATTTTTCTGTAAGGGCCTTTGAGATTTACTCCATTTATCATACAAATTACAGTCACATAACCAAAAGTAATTCAACAGAGACATCAGAGAGGCGTTTCAAGACCTTTTAAAGACTACAAGCTCTCCTCTGAGTGTTGATGATTCAACCAGAGGCATTGTGTTTACGCTTCTTGTCTGAACATATAATTTTGATGCTTTTAGCTGAATGCAAGAGCGCTCTTTTCTGTAGGCTTTGGGTTTTATAGTGGCAGGCACCTGACAGGAGGAAATTTGTACAGTGCAATTGTGATCTTAAAAGGTTGCTTGATTATTGTTATTTGAACGGTAGGTGGTTATTTTATCATGCTAGCACTTTGATGACCGATTATGGTCCTTCGAGACATCTGGGCACTAGCCTCTTTGGAGTAAACAAATAAGAAAATAAGATGGTGTCTTTACATTCTGCAATCGCTACAGAATATCTCTGAATTATGACTTTATTTTTTATGATAATTGAGACTTTTGAAAATGAATAATTTAGCTTCTGATAAGCCCAACGTTAAATGTGACTAATAAACATGAATTGATGTAGTTTGCCGTATCTGCTAATATGAGAAATAAAGTCTCAACAGTGTCATACAATAAAGTCACAATTACACACCACATTTTTAATACATTGCAAGGGTAAAAACAATTTAGACATTTAGCACACTGCTTAGACGTTGATGAAGTCTCATGAGTTCAGTTTTACCCAAAACAGATTAACATGAATCTGACCATTTTATACAACGTTGGTTATTGTACATATCGCTGCAGTTTGGAAATGAAATGTCCGGTTTGCAATTGTAAAAAAAAAGTAGCACCTACATTAAACCCTAGCCTAAACTTAACCGATAGTGTTAACAAAAGCAAACATGAGATTAAAAAAATGCATTTTCTGAAGCAACCTTTGTAACCAATAAGCCATATACTGTAAATCTTAATAATAAACCTTACATTATATATAACACATAGCCTAATCAGCACCCAAGCGCACGCATAAAGCTTTCCACAGCACACCTGCAAAGTAATGATTATGAATGTGTCATGAAAAAAAAGATTTTAGTGAACAGAACCTCTCCATCTCTATGTTTCTTTCTTGTTTCTCTTCCTCTCACACTCTTTATGAATGGAGACCCATCAGCTAAACTCAGGGACAATTACATGTAGCTAAAACAAGCGATTGTGCTTTAAGCACTGCTGGTTTTGTAACAAGCTCTGTTTAGTGTGGGAGGGAGAAAATTCCTTCCGGACGAATGAAGGAACAGAGCCGAACAGAGGCGTCTGTGCAGATATTCAGTGTAATGTCATTGACTTCAATATAGACATATTGTTATATTGTTCAAAGTCCCTATGATGTTCTGGTCTCTGGATGTGACTCTGGGTCCCTCCTTCAATGAAAAAAAGTAATTCATGTTTGGGTGAACTATTCCTTTAAATTTAGTTGCATTCTATGTGTAATACTGGTTATGGAAATCATTTGGACTTTCATTCCAGAGGGTTTAAAAGAAGAACAAGACGGCTGTCCATCATTCATGCAGACATGGATTCTCTGTTTTCTCTGTATTTTGAGCATAATCGAGTCGTGTTACAAGGTCATGACACAGAGGTTGAAAGACTGGATATAACACTGCAAAAAAATTATTGTAGAAACAGTTTTCGCTTTGAAATTGCTAGTAAAGTTCACAATTACTTACGAAGAAATGGAAAGTAAAACATTGAATTAAACAGAGTTTTGAGGAAGAAAGACTGAAAGAGAACATATTCAAATATTCCTTATGTTTATTGAAATACCCCATTGTACTTGCTGTATCCTAACCACAATTTTTGACCGACAATCCAAAATGATTTTGTGGTAATCGACATTTTGCTAAACATGCTGTTACTGATATTAAACCAGAGCATTTCTTAAGCTACGACACCAGCATCAAAACCACAATGCTGAACTGTCTCTGGCCTTTCATTAGCACTCTCTGCGCCATCCTACATATAAATAAATGAAGTGTTTGCCGTCTGACCCTTAAAATGATTAAACAGCGTTCAATGTTACTCCCGGGCTCCACCTCAGACCTCTCTAACTGCATTGAGAACGCCTGAGGGACAGACCGAGTCTTCACCCATCACTGCTATTCTTGTCCAATCTGATTTCAATTGCAGAGGGCTGTTGAAAACACAGGGAGATTACTCTGTGCGATGGCTCGTCTTGACAGATGGGTCACCCTCATAAATCCTGCTCAGCAGAGGAGCGCTCAGCTACATTTATACCCATTAGCCGAGGCAATTTGTGAAGGCTCCAGTCACGGACAGGGGACACGTAACTAAACGACATGTATAGTGTGAAGCAACGAGACTCTGCAAGGTTGACAACTGACATACGGTGGGCCCTATTTAAGGATCTAAGCTCATGGTCTAAAGCGCACGGCGCAAGTGCACTTGGGTCGGTCCGAATCCACTTTGGCTAGTTTAACGTTGGGGAAAATGGTCGGCGCTCCCGGCGCATGATCTAAAAGTGTTGTCTCTATTCTCTTAATGAGTAATGGGTGTGTTTTGTTTCTATTCTCTTAATGAGTAATGGGTGTGTTTTGGGTGTAACGTGCAATAAACCAATCAGAGTCTCATCTCTTATTCCCTTTAAAAGCTGCTCGCGCTATGGCGGATTCGCTATTTACACGGCAGAATTTGCAAGTGGAAAACTAATAAGCAGAGTGTAATAAGCAGAGTGTGTGTGTAATAAGAAGAGTGTGTGTAATAAGCAGAGTGTAAGCGTGTTGTGGACCCGCCTATAAGCGCACATTACTAACGTGCTCTTTAAATAACAACAAAAAATATACTGTGCCATTGATTTTAGCCCAGGTTTCAGTTGGTCAATGGCTCAGTCTATTTCAGTTCCTCAAAGCAGCAACGCTCCGACAATGCTCCTGAACACACACTCGTTCTCAGACCAGAAGCTCATGGGCGCACAGACGGGCACAAATGCATTTGCTATTTAAACAACGTGGAGCAGGACATGAAAATGAAAACTGCGTCGGGCTGAAACTAGCAGAACACACTTGCGTCGCGCGTATGATAGGGCCCTGTATGTTAGTGAACGTAATTTTAATGGTAAAGACTGAAAAATGTAATTGTTAAAGGTAAGTTCATTTAGTCTATAAGGTGAAAAACTGCAATAGAACTAATAAGACATTTTCACAGTAAAACACTGTTAAATGTAAAGTTGTTGGAAGTGACGAACAACAAGTCACCATATAATTTACAGTGAAAAAACGTAAATTGGCATTTCTCAAAATTCTCCGTATGACACTTCACGTTTGATGGGTCTTCATTGAAATATCTCAGTTTCTTCTTAGTTTTTTATCATCAGTTATGTTACATCTTATGTTGTTAGATGAATGTTTGTTGCATTATTTTAGTTACCGTGATGGTGTTTTGTGTTTTGGTGTAAAACACTGTGTGCATCTTCTATATATCAGTATTTCCCAAAAGCCACTTGTGATGAACTTTACTTTACTGTAAATTTAAGCTAAATCTGTAAAACTTAAAATGTTGTTACCGTATTTTTTTACAGTTAAGTTGTGGTAATCACAGCTGCCATTTTTTTCTTACTTTGATAACATTTGCATATTGAATTTTCATTGAATTGATATAGGAATATTTCCTTCTGTAAATAAAAATTCTAGTGCTCTTAGTTAATCTGGTTTTATATTGAAGCTAAATCTGTAAATACACTGATATTTTCAGAACTGTGCAAATAATTTGCCATTTTTTGTCTCACTTTGATAACATTTGCATAATATTTGAATATTGAATTGTGATTTCAAGGATATTGGGGATCTATCGAAATATTTCCTTCTGGAAATGCCAAATGTTTAGTTATATTAGTTAATCTGGTTTTATATTGAAGCAGAATCTCTAAATACACTGATATTTCCAGAAGTGTGCAATAATTGGTGTTGCAGTTGATCTGAAGTGGCAGAGCGACCAGGAGGACTCTGAACTCCAGGTTTTTATCTGATTGGACCAGATGTTACAATTCTGTACCTGTCTAGATTTTCTTCACTCGTTTCTCTCCACAGCAGAAGGCGATTCATGAGGGAATCCCGTTTGCTATGCTGCAAGAAAACTCAGTTACACTTTATTTTAAGGTGTCATTGTTACAATGTAATTATACACTAAATTACTGAGTAATATTAATTAACAACACGTACTTACTATAGGGTTAGGGTAGGATTTGGTTGAGGGTTGTAATTATGCATAATTTACTGTTATTACTATGGTAAGTGCATGTAACATATGTAACAAGGACACTGTAAAATAAAGTGTTACTGAAAGCTCTTGCTTTTAAACAGGCGTGCGTTTGCTCCGGTACCTTATTGACTCCGTCTGCCATGGCCTGCAGGGTGAGCTCGCGAGGACCGTCCACTGTTTTCCCATCATCCGTGGGACCCCAGCTGGCGCTGTAGATGTCAATGACCTGTGGCATGTGGCTGATGGAGGACGCCTCAATGATGTCCGTCATGAAGGGCTGGTCCAGCATACGAATGCCTGCAACAAATGGCAAGACTGAGAACATGGGAGCAATAGGAAAACCCTTGATGCCGCTCTACTCATCATGATCTGCAGTGATAACTGGTGTGAGATTCACTGGTGACATATGGAAGAAGAAGCGGAAGATAATAGCTTTGGTACTGCATCAAGCACTTCACAAGCTTTAACCTTAACTTTGCTTCTCTCTCTCTCTCTCTCTCTCTCTCTCTCTCTCTCTCTCTCTCTCTCTCTCTCTCTCTCTCTCTCTCTCTCTCTCTCTCTCTCTCTCTCTCTCTCTCTCTCTCTCTCTCTCTCTCTCTCTCTCTCTCTCTCTCTCTCTCTCTCTCTCTGACAAACCTACAGAAAAGAAGAAAATAAACTTCCCTGCTGGTCTAGCTGGGGAAATAGCATGCGATGCTCGGCAAGTAAAGGCCCTGATATACTCACAGCAAAGTTCTTTTCATTCTTTACTTAGGGTTAATAAGTAGTTTGAAAGCTGTTTGCGAACATCCCGAAGCATTCACGCTGCAGCTGAGAGCGATGTTGAGATGAATATGTAAATATGTGTTGTGCTCTTTCCTCTCAATAACAGAATAAACACACAATAACAATAAGAAAACAGCGGTTCAGAAAGCATCTGATCATAGTGATGTGGAGATGTTTGCTCCAGCTTTGAGATTCAGATCTACAGTTGCGTCATACAGCACTTTATACAATAGATAGATTTAAAGCAGCAGCTTTACAGTATTAAACATGACAAAAAGTGTTAGTCTCTTTCAGTTAGAATCACAGCTTCAGTTTCTGCTGTAAAGCGGCTCTCCAGTGTGTTGGTGTTTTTACTCGCGTCTGAACAGAAGAAAGAGATTAATCTGAGATTTCCATGTCAAAGAAGGCGGAGCCTCAGAGCTACACCCACCTATTACGTGAACGCCACGGACTAATGGGAGTTCAAATGAGTTTACCAGCTGGAACAAACTTTTATGGAAAGTTCAGTTTGGCAAACTGTTTCCAACTCCAAACGAACTTTGTTTTGTTCTGATTTTGTTCAAAATTACGTCACACCAGTTTGTTCTTCGATTCCGCTTAAAGTATACCGGGACCTTAACACTGGCCACCAGCATGATCTCTCTGGTGAATCTGGTTGACTGAGGTTAACTCTGTCCCCATCTCTTTACACATCTTCTGAAAGAGTACAGAATCTCCTGATCAAAACACAGGAGAAGAAGAAGCAGAAGCAAGCGATACACTCTGAAAAATGCTGCGTTCGAAACAACCCAAGTTGGGTTAAAAATGGACAAACTCAGTGATTCGGTTGTTTTAACCCAGCGGTTGGGTTAAATGTTTGCTGGACAGTTTTTTTTTAACCCAACTATTGTTTAAAAATTACTAGTTTAAAATGAACCAAAAATAGGTTAGAAATTAAAAATCAGACACATAATAACTAGAGGCAACGATAATAATCAAAAGGTGAACATTTATTAATAAGCATTTAAATACATGTTTATTGTTTAATTATTTATCATCATACTTATTAATAAATGTAAATGTATTAAACCTATTAATAAATGTTAATTTTCAACATACGTCCGGTTCATTTTAAGCAAACAATACAGTAATTTTTGAAACAATCGTTGAGTTGAATAAAACTACCCAGCAGGTTGGACAAACGTTTAACCCAACCGCTGAGTTAAAACAACCCATTCGCTGGGTTTGTCCATTTTCAACCCAACTTGGGTTGTTTTTAACCCAGCATTTTTTAGAGTGTACCATATATAATCATATGCATATGTAAATTATAACGTGATCATCCACATTAAACAGCATATGAATCAAAACAGCCTAAATGTGGACTCAGGACGAGCTTTGGGACTGTGAAGCTTTGAGGTGTCGATGGACTCGATCTTCTCCATCTGTGTTTGATCATCGCTCTGAATCCCATCCGGATGCAGTCTCTGACAAAACCCCATTTTCTCAGCGTTTGCTCAAAATGTTGCCTTTTTTATGAAACTTATCCACATTCCAGTGTTGATTAAAAAGGAATGCATGAAGCTTGAATAAAACGGGTTTTTGTTTAAAAACAGAGGCTCTGTTCTTTAATTTGATATATTGCATATTCAGATATTTATACAACTAAATATTCTGGGGGTCATAAAAACGTTTGTGAAAGTGTTGAAGAAAGCTGGCGGTGGTTGGCAACTTTTTCCAAAATGCTGGCGGGGAAAGAGTTAAACCGTCTGAAGGGGACTGTGATGGAGACCAACAATGCAACTTATGCTGGTAACCAGCAGATCTTCACCAGGCAACATGAGCAGCACCAACTCAGGCTCATTACTGTGCCTTTAAATATGCAACAACCTCTGTCTTTTCATATATATCTGCACAGGTTTAAGCCTGAAGCTCTGTATGAATACACTCTAAACATCCCACTGCTGTGTATCACAAGACATCAAACATGTGAGACCTTTAATACTGACCTCATCCTGAAAGGTGATTATAAAACATTGCAAGAGCTGAAGTGGTGAGACTAGACACTCAATGTGTGTGTGTGTCCTTTGTGAGGGACAAAAGCTAAACAAGATATTCACTGGCAATTAGTAACTCTCCTTTACTTTTGTGGCCTTTTGAAAAGAAAAAAACAAATCAATGTGCTGCAGTGCGTAAATTATGTTTTTATTATGTGCCATATTGTGAAAGAGTGGAAGGGTAGAAGTTATCAATATGATAAAGATGATTTTCCAAAACAAAGGGATCATTCATCATAGTTATTCAAAGTCATTCATTATATTTATCGACTAACACAAAACAAACCTGATAAGGCAAAAATGCATCGAATTTATTTTAATTAAAACATTGAATCATGATAGTATCCAAACACATTAATACAAATATTGTTTCTGAATTTAATTGGCTTCTTGATTGTAATTTGAAACTCTATACAGTTTAGATCTATACAAATAAATGTGAATTGAATTGCATATTGAATGTGTATATTTGTATGCACCATGTGCTGTGGAATGAATGTTCTTGGTACTTCAGTAGGGGTTTGACGAGACGAGACACGAGATTGGGTTCATGAGAGCGAGACGAGGCGACAAAAAGGACAAAATTCATGACGGGAAAAATAGTCTGCAGGTGCATTTTGTTTTAACAATCGTCTTGTAGTTAATGTAATTTCCGTTCTACTTTACGAGTATGAATTATCATATGCATTGATAACAATATACAAGCACTGTAAAAGGTTTTGCCACAAACTCAACAGACTGACTTCTCTCCTGTATGATTTCACAATGTCTCTTCAGATCTTACTGAACATGAATTATGAGCTTCCAGAACTTCTGGTTGAGGCTGTGTGTCACCTCCTAATTAAACTCCTTTCCACAAATTGAACATTTTTCAAGTTTCAAAGTTTTTTATTAGTGTTATTGAGTGCAAACAATAAGTGCAACCATAATCAAAGTACTCTCTCAATATTTAAAGTGCAAACAGAGACCAGAGTTAAGAGGTGGTTTCAACTACACAGCCCAGCCTAAGATAGGTTTGATATTGGGAGACTCGCGTTTTACTTTCGCATTCGAGATCGCACGTAATCTGTGTATAGAAGGAGCGGTGGTGCTGAGCGCGCATTCTACAAGATAAGACATTTAGCTTGCGCAACGAATTCCCCGCCATGGTCTTGTCAGTCATCTCGCCTTACTCTCGTCATGTGATCAGTGAACTGTGAAGCGACTGTGTGCGACTCTGCCGCTCGTGCTGGGTGAGCAGAGCAGACCTTTACAATAGTCTCTCACAGTCATGGTTCCTGTGTCATGTGATTTCCTTGCCCTCATGTGATCATGTCTTGTGCTTGCCTTTTCTTATGTGTCACGTTTTGATTGGTTCATTGTTTCATTGGTGTTTCTTGTTTGATCAATAATCTTGTGTGTCTCATTTTCCCATTGTTTCTTGTCTAGTATTGTCAGTGTAACCTCTATTGGTGAGTTGGTTTCATATTTATGTTTTTGACCAGTTTTTGTGTTGCTCACTTCAGCTGCAACTCGCCTCAGTGGACTTTTCTGATAATGTATCACAAAGAACACGGATACAATATTACAATATTCAACGCAGATAGTGCACACCAAAAGCCTATTGTCTGACTTGACAGCTCTGGTTCTTCTCTTGACAGCTAAGCCTACTCTTAACTACTCTCAACTACTTCCAAGGCAATTTGCTTGACATCTCAAATGAGACGTTGTTAGGAACATTGATAACATTTTATTCCGATGGTCCCCTTTAGTCATTTAAGGTACTTTGCAACTACGTCAACTAGTATTATTAGTCTGTCTGATTAATATCTGCTAACACTTTATTTTGATGCTCCCCAACAGACTATAAGAAACTTTGCAAGTACGTCAGATTACTCTACTAAACCCAACCTAACAGTCTTCTAATACTCTAAGGAGAGTTAGCTGACATGTAGTTGCATATTAATAAGAGTTAGTTGACATGTAGCTGCAAAGTTACTTATAGTTAGTAGAATGTCTAAAGTGGAACTGTCTAAAGTAACCGGGGGCACGTTCAAGTTCAAAACGGTGCGCAACGTTTTGCTACGGTTTCCGGGTTGACCGTCATGTTTCCTGGAAACGGCGTGCACCGGTGTGCACCAGGGTTTGAGATGCGTTTTCTCTTGTTTGGTGGGTGTGTCAGAACTGCAGTCCAATCAGCGGCAACATGTATATAAAGCACACGGTATTAAAGAGAACTCGCACAATGGGTTCAAGGAAAGTAATTTACAAATGTGTTCGATGCAGCTCGGTATACGCAACAACTGAGGATATTAGAAGACATGTTTGTCGTAAGTTTTATTGTAAACATATAGGATATCAACATAATGATGTAGTTGTTTATATTTTTAGCTTCATTGCAAGTGTATGACATATGGTTTAAGTGCTTTTCCTAAAAATGAGAAAGAAAATACAGGGTATTAAAACAGTATGAACTACAAATAAAGTCAGTTTGTGAGGCTGAATAGAAGTGTTTTAGTCTGAATTAGGTAAGATGTGCTTCCATTTCAGTTTCAGCAAATCCCTTCACTCGATTGGGATGTTCTCTTGTGTTCTGGGCAGAAAGTGCAGTAACTGTAACATGGGGCCTATTTTGTAGTATTAAACACATATTTATATCGACTTCATCAGGCTCCGAAAATTCTTCACAAAGAACACAAAGAATGGCCTTTCTCAGCTGCCATAGTTGCAACTCTTTCGTCATCAGAACAGTGTGTTCAACGCATCACCGTTTCTGTTTAAAAAACGTTGTGCAACGTTTTGTCGGGGCTGAACGCAGCCCAGAACTTCACTTGTATTATGAGGTCATCACTGTAAAAACCTATCAGAAACGTACCTGCTACCTTGGAGTTGTAGGCCACGCCCACCCCACAGATGTTGTTGTTTGAAACTGCAGACACCTCACCAGCACACCTGGTTCCATGACTGAAACACAACATTCAGAGATGTCTAGAGTTACACATTTCACAATGATTTATGTGATTTAACAATGAATCCAACTATTATTAAGTTATTCGCTAAAAATCTCTCCAGTCACCATAGCTCTTATTTAGTTTCGCGCATATTCAAATGTGTTGAATACGTATCTGGTACTAAACAACAATGTGTCAAGTTTGAATCTATGAATGAAAATTGAAAGACAGAGTGGAGGGTAAGATTTCCAATAAATAACCATAATGTAATTCTGTTCATCACCCACATAAACTGTATATTAAGGTAAATTAAAGCCATTATTGACAGGATCTGTGGCTGTAGTGAGCACACGGCGATGGAGAATTAAACAAAAACTATTTATTAGCACTAATACTCAGAACACGCAGGAGACTGTAAAAGTAAACACAAGCACGTAAGCATAAGCATAAACGACACTGAACAATAAACAGAAAGATCTGAGGGCTTAAATACACTCAGGGATAATTAACAGAACAAGAAACAGGTGCAGCTCAATCAGAAACCACAGAGAAACCAGAACACAATTAAACTTAATATAACCCTGACAATTATTCAGATAAATAGGCTTACATGCTCCGTTGCAATATATACTGTGTATTCAGCATTATCAGAATCTGTCCGTCAGAAACCTTCTGTATCATGTAGCATGTACAATTACTTTTGTATGGTCATATAGATATAATGGAATATTGCCGTGACTCGGATGGGAGTGAAGTTTAGGGGCGTGAGAGTGTAACGGAGGCAAGCTAATAAGAGCTGTGAATGTAAACCTCACTCCTTTGGTCTCAAGAGGCACGCAAGAGACTGCGGTCTTAAGCCTCCTTGTTAGCACACCACCTCCCATGCCGGATACCCTAGTTCCAGTGTTGGGAAAGTTCACTTTCTACATGAACTAGTTCAAAGTTCAGTTCACACATTTTAAAATAAACTAGTTCAGTTCATAGTTCAAACTTCAAAAAATGAACTAGTTCATTCATAGTTCTTTTTTTCCATATGTTGCGAGATTTTTTTTTATTATTATTATTGCCACAGCCCATATACAACCACAGACAACAATTATTTTATCAACGGGCAAAGTTTGCACAGAAATGTACGATTTTTCCCATCCTCACCGACCTCGTCATAAAATCCGTCTAAATGATCACACGACGCCTCCTCGCTCGCTGCTTTGTCGACGGCGGCCGCGGTGCGACACTGGTGGCTGGTGTTGCCAGATTGGGTGTTTTTTCGCTACATATTAAGGCCTGTTTACGTGTGTTTTAGCTGGGTTTTCGCCTGGAAGGCTCTATAGAAATCTGGCACCCTATTTAAAGTTAAACTGAGAGAGCGCGCGTTCACAGACACCAGAATGAACGCGTTCACCGTAACGTTCATCAGGCAGTAATACAGTACGTTCAGTTCACGTTCGGCCAAAATATGAACGCGTTCATGAACTATCGTTCAATGAACGCGTTCAGGCACAACACTGCCTAGTTCAAATCCCGCTCGTCGAGTAGGACCCTGTAAACTTGGATGATAAGAATATAACTATATTCCAATATTATACAAATTAAGAATAATAAAGGGAACCTATTATGCCCCTTTTTACAAGATGAAACATAAGTCTCAGGTGTCGCCAGAATGTGTCTGGGAAGTTTCATTTATTATACCAGGTTGTAAAAGCCCATTTTTGAGTGGACGGAAAAACATGCTGTTTTCGTGCATGTATCTTTAAATGCAAATGAGCAGCTGCTCCGCCCCCTTTCCAGAAGAGGGTGGAGCCTTAAAAGCTTGTGCCTCCGAAACTCCGAAAAACTAAAATATCTGTTTGATTTTGATTATCATCTCTATCGCGTTTACACTCACGTGACATTGCAGTTCTTCATCATCATGAAAGCTTATTATCTGCATGCGTTTTAAAGCCATATCAGTCTAAACTTCTGATATCTGGTGTTCTGAGCGCACACATCTGAACCACGCGCACAGAAAGCTGGATGTCAGACAGTGTGTCCTGTGAATATTAAACTAAGTTCTCTTTTACATCTTATTACAATTAAACTGTCAAATACACACAAGGTTATGTCTGTGAACGTAAACAGCAGGGAAATAAATCACATCTGTATATTAGATCGGTGTATTAAAGTGAAAGCATAATATACAGTACCTACTCCTATAAATGCTGTAAATATGAATCACACAACAAAAGGAAAAAAAAAAACAGAAAATCACTCACTGCTCTTAACTGAATAACTTTAGTAGCTTTAATAAAAATAGATTTCTTACTGATGAGATAAACATGGACTGTGTACGGCTCACTGAGGGCGGAGTCTATGCTAATAGGGCGGAGTCTGTCAGCGATCTTGGGCGGGGCCTAAGTATATGTGATGTCACTGCTAGAATCTGCAGACGGCTTATTCTGAGACACTGCTTTGGTTTATGGGGATTAAAAAAGAGGAGTTTGTGGATTTTTATCATTATAGGGTGGTTGTGTACACACACTGTGACACATAATTATGTTCAAACACCATGTAAAAGTGAATTTTGCATAATTGGTCCCCTTAAGTAAATGGACTCATTGATGTTGAACCTTGCTCTACTTCAATAACAAGCCGTAAATGTACAAGACAAGCTTCTACAATGGTCTCTGGAACGGAGAATCCTCAGGAAGAGCCCGGCATGAGGCACAGCAATGGTTCCCTCCTCTCCTCCACTCAGACATCAGTGCTTCTATTTATATATAAGCGTCTGATGATGCTGTGAGTCTGCAGCTCAGATGATATTACTCTGCTCTCACCACACGCTGAACAACACAAGAGGAGCTCTCGCCATCTATTAGATTGTGTCTGTCCTTGATGTGCACTGTAAAAAAAGAGCAATTATGCCAAGGTTTAACTAATATCTTAAAATATCCTATTCAGATTTGTACTCTGAAATCAATGCAGGTTATGACATTTTCTGTGTTAACTATGGACACCTAAACCGGCTAGTCTGCGGGCTGCCTGAAAGACTGATCGGTTAGAAGAAAGCCTGTATAAGGCTAGTTTTTACATAGTTTATCAAGTCTTGCATCTAAAGTCTGGTCATAATTCTGGCAATGTTTCGGGTTTCAACACAGAAAATGAATAATGTTTTATAATCAACGATTATATTAGTATGGGTTCTCAACCAGAAAACCATATATTAAAGTCCCACTTGGATCGCGCAGCTTTGTTTGATGCGTTGACGTTATTTCCACTGAAACATGAAGATAAGGCGGGACTTATTGAATGGCTCCTCCCCCTTTTCAAACAGCCAATAGCGTTTAGTTTCCCTCACAGACTGACAGCAGCATTGAAGTGAATCAGAGCGCTGATGATACGCTGGATTCGATAATAGAAATGTGAATAAATTCTAGCCATTTCAACGAACAGTTGGAACACACACTCCAACACATGTTGCTCTGTGACGTGTGAACGATCGCTTTGGCCAGGTGGTGTTTATAGCAGAGGGGGCGGAGCTTTAGATCCTAGAGAGCATTTGATTGGACAGAAGATGTGATGAGAAGCTGAAGTTCGCGATGAAGTCATAAAATCCCTGATCCATTTTAGCGGAAGTGAGAGATTTGAGTTTTGAACAGGTTCCTAGCTAAGAATTCAGGATCTTATGAGATTATATTGCTTTGGACGCTCATCTTTTATAATAAGGTTTAATCAGTGTGTTGAAAATATCACATGTGTCCCTATAAGAGCAGAAGAGCTTGTGCTCTCATTTCATATCTCTCAAGCATCCTTAGACTGATTCCGGTGGAGACTATAAGCATTGTGTCTCTGCGGTGCTATTGAACTATCATTGCTTATTTGAGCATCCAAACCATACATATATTTGGGCTGGGACTATCTATTTGTCCAGACAACAGCAGCCGGAGGAGTGGAGGTTTGTTTCCATGGAATAAAAAAGTGATTGACTTCTTTTCCTCAGAATTGCAAGTTTATATCTCACAGTTTTGAGGGAGCAAAACTGGGGAAAATAAACTCGTAATTGCAAAGAAAAAAAGTCAGAATTGCTAGTTTATGTCGTCCAATTTGAACTTTATTACTTGCAATTATGTATTTATATCTGTATTTTACATTTCTGCAACTGCAAGTTATAAAGTATGAATTGTGAAATGAAAGTCGCAATTATTTTTTTTATTCCCTGAAATTTCCAGAAATCTGTTTAATTTGCATGTGTTTCGCTAGTGGTGCAGAAATGACATGCTTTTGTACATGATATATATGAGCCTCAATCATTTGAGAAATTGAACCAATTAAGAAACAAATGAACAAAGAAAAAATCATCAGTGAATAAAGTGAATAGTCGACAAATGCATTTTTACTGCTAATGTAATGTAGTGTCATAAATAGCTTTTTTAAAATATACATGCTTGGATGTTTAAGTGCTGTCTTAACGTTTGTGAATGCAAATGCTTTTAGCTGCCAGTGTGTGTGTGTTTGTGTGTGTGTGTGTGAGTGTGTGTGCGTGCATGCATGTGTGTGTGTGTTACGACATGTTCTGAGTGCACACAATTATGTTACACTGGACCGTATTGAATGGTGAGATTTGTGTTTGTTTCTTGTCCACACACAACACCCTTCCTCACATACACATCTCTTATTTGTTCTGTTTCATAATGCACAGCAGAGAAGAGGATCCAATGATTTATTCAGAGAGAATGGAGAAAAATGCATTGATTCGAGTATCAAAACTACTTGCAGAGCATTAATGATTGTTTATTGTAATGTAAAATCTATTGAGTGCCAAGTCATTGATCAGTCCCACTGGAGGTAGCACTGAAACCTCGTAATCTTCAGCTCGGGTGGTTTAGCTCGGAGAGGAGAGAAAGGCTCATCGCGTGTGTTAATGCAGCTGGGCTGAGAGCCGGTGAGAGATGGCTTAATGCGGTTACGTGTCAGGAAAATCAATACAGAGAGGCAAGGAGTCCTTCATCCAAACACTGCTAACAAACACAGTTGCAGGGCAATGCACTGCGGCGTCAGCGAGTACGAGCAGTTTCATATCGTATATGGCATGAAGTGTACATCATTTGCTCTAAAGCAACATTGACAGTAAAGGCATTTATAATGTTACTAAAGATTTATATTTCAAATAAATGCTGTTCTTTTGAACTTTCTATTCATCAAAGAATCCTGAAAAGAAATAATCAGGGTTTCCACAGAAATATAAAACTGTTTTCAACGTTGATAATAATCATAAATGTTTCTTGAGCAGCAAATCCTCATATTAGAGTGATTTCTGGAGGATCATGTGACACTGAAGACTGGAGTAATGATGCTTTGGACCAAAACAGAAACCAAACAGTACTGTAACTAATGATGTAAAAATTTGAATATAGAAATGAAAAAAAAAAAAATCTTGCATCAGTGCAAAAAGGCTTCATATGTGATACGAGTTAAAAAAAAAGACAAAAAACTTTAAAGATAATGTTATTAAACAGATAGTTTTAACTCTAAATTCTGATTGGATGAGCCACAATTTAAGCTGAAAAATATTACAAGAGATACTAAAATATAGACATATTAATTGACATGACATTGCGTCCATAAGCTTTGCATTGTGTCCACATTTCTACATGGTTCTTCTTGCTACTTTCACACGAAAATAACAAATCTCAGAGAGCAACACAGAGTCGGCCCAGATCCGGGCCACATCCGGCACATGTGGATTCTGTCCGGGATCTGTGCCGTCCACTGATATCTACTCAAACAACTACAGATACACATTAAAATATGCTCATTACCTGTTAAACCAGTCGTCCGTGTAGCGAGGGTAAGGGAACGGGTCGTTGCTGCTGAAGTCAAAGCTGGCTTCTGCATTCTGAAACATCAACAAGAAATAGAGCATCCGTCATCAAGCTTCACAGACTTGTGAATTAGTAGCAATTATGTCAAAACAAACAATGAGCTTCATTTCAGTAATTAGTCATTCATTATTTAGAAACCATCTCTGGAATTCCCATTGTGCTCATCCCTGTGTGTGTCATGAGCTGCCCCTCATTAAGCGCTCCTCTAGCTGTTCCTTAATCAACCATCCACCCAATCTCAGAGGTAATGTGTGAAAAACACTGCGGGAAACACGACCCAGACACGAGAACTGTGCGAGGAACTTCATTCTGCTCTGACCAAAGCTTGCAGAGACGTGAGGAAGAAAGGGGCGTATGGGTGGCATGACCAAACTCTCAGATCACTCATTTTGTATATGCAGGAAATTTAATGAACGAATAATGTGTAATGATATTTTCTATTTTCGAAAGATTGTGACATTTTTGAAAGAAGTCTCTTCTGCTCACCAAGACTGCAAGTATTTGATCAAAAATACAGTAAAAACAGTAATATTGTGAAATATTATTACAATTTAAAGTAATTGTTTTCTATGTGAATATATAGTAAAGTGTAATTTATATCCGGTGATCAAAGCTGTATTTTCAGCATCATTACTCCAGTCTTCAGTGTCACATGATCCTTCAGAAATCATTCATTATTAATGGTGCTAAATTATTAATAATGGTTCTTATTATAACAATGCTGAAAACAGTTTTTGCTACTTACTACAAATTCAGGATTCTTTAATGAATAGAAGGCATTTATTTGAAATATAATCTTTTGTAACGTTATAAAGGACTTTATTTAATGCATAATTGCTGAATAAAATTGGCCTATTTAAAAAAAATTTTGAAAGTATGGTATCTTATGGTGGTTTCCAGAAAATTTTGAACCAGCACAACAGTTTTCAACATTGATAATAAAATTATAATTATAAATGTTTCTTGAGCATCAGATCCTCATATTAGAGTGATTTCTGAAGGATCATGTGACACTGAAGACTGGAGTAATGATGCTGAACATCAGCTTTGATCACAGGAATAAATTGCATTTCTAAATTGTAAGAATATGTCACTATATTAATGTTTTTACGGAATATTTGATGAATAATGCAGCACACATTGAAGATGTTTAGATGATGTTTAGAAGGCTGTGGTTTAAAAAAAAAATTCTGACATTAGAGGGTTGTGGTTTAAAAATATCTGAATATTATATTTTATTCACAGCCATCATTTGTAGAAGCCTATTCACAAACTGTTTGCATAAGGGTAGTGTTTTCTCAGAGTTCACTGTGTCTGAAACTCCCCTGAATCGTCACGCTTATTCATTTGTGGATGTTAACTGAATCTGTAAGTCAGCTACACTGTTTACTTCTGAATATTATATTTTATTCTGGTGCGCTTAACGTTATCGTTTTCTCAGAGTTTAGGCTCCTGTGTAATAGTAGCCAATGCTATTCAGCAACTCAAACACACCAAACCAACAATTACTAAAAACACACAAAAACAGATTTTGCACGGGCATTGCACTAGTTTAACATCATTTCAACCAGCGAAAGAAGCCTCCGAAAACCCTTCCTCTGCTCATGATCTCCGTTCTTCACAGCGTTTCTCACCGTACGCTCCTCCATTTTCAGAGTTCAGTTGCCAGAGTTGGAAAGATGCTTCACTTGTGTAGTCGATGGCTCTGGGCTGATGAGGTTCAGTCCGGCAGAGACTCAGTGGGACACAAAAGAGAGGCCTTTGGTTCCCGGGATCCGGTTTAGTGTTTGAGGAAGATAACTGGAGGATGGAATGACTTGGAAGAGGTTTTCATTGGGATGACACTGAGAAAAACTGAGATTCACTGGTTCATCTAAATCGCTGAGTAATATTCTTATGACAAAGTAGAACAAGAATTTCTTCAAGCAGTTATTGTTCTGACCATAAGCCCAATGTTTTAACTATTAAGAAAAGCCAAATACATGCAATGTGAAATCCCTTCTTAACTGGTAGACAGTCACATCACATGTCCCTAACAAGTCTCAAGTACAAAATAACTTTAAATAAAAAATAATAAAGTTAATAAATTATTAACTTTATGAATTACACTTTTTTTATACTTACTATCATTCTGAATTATTATCATAACAATTATAAGAAGAAAACTCATGTGTTCAAGAGAACAAAATCATCACTTCCTGGGAAACTGGCGCACAATATCAGTAATAAAACTGTATGTTTCTGCAATCAAACTCTTTTCCCTCCATCATAAACGAGTGTGTGTCGAGCGTCATCATGAACGAGTGTGTGTCGAGCGTCAGGCGAACTGGTGTTCGGATGCTGGTGTTCGGGAACACACTCGTGTGTGTGAGACGCTTCTGGAGGGAATTACACCAATCATTCTGATCACACACTCGTGTGTGTGAGACGCTTCTGGAGGGAATTACACCCAATCATTCTGATCACACACTCGTGTGTGTGAGACGCTTCTGGAGGGAATTACACCCAATCATTCTGATCACACACTCCGACTCCGGCGTTTCAGAAACACCAAACCACCATTAGAGACGCTGCGACGCCATTGGTCCGCTGGTTACTCCAGTTATCCAATCACAGCTGACGCTGAGGCAAAGCCACATGAGGTTTGAGGGATTTATTCTGCTAATATCGTAGTTTATGTGCATGTCTTCTCATCTGATAAAAAAAAAATTATCCACTTCAATTGGGCACATACATTTATATGAGCATTATTAGAATTTATGCGCATCTTGCCGTATTCATGCGTTATTTTTAAGCAATATCCCAAAATTCACTTAAAAATAGGCGGATGGAAACATAGCTAGTGTTACTGCCATAGAAAAAAAGTCCAGTTTCTCGGAGTCTGCGCTCAGAGAAAGTAGAGCATGATAACGGACTCAGTCCCCGAGCGAACAGCTCCCAGAGAGCCAGCACACACTGAGGGAACAACGGACACACCGGTCCTGTGCTTTACAGCAGTGTGTGTGTGCTTTACAGCAGTGTGTGTGTCCCATAATCCATCAGTGCAATCATGGAGATTCAGATTCTGTCGTTCATGTCGGCCTTCACTTCAGCTCCCTCAGAGGAGAGGAGGTATTCTTCTCTGCCCAGAGACTTCATTAATGGAGAGCAAGACGAAAGCATGAAATTGCATCAGTGCTTCAAAACATCATCAGTAATAGTGATATTCTGAATTGCAATGTATTTATATATATACTGTATATATATATATAAATACATTGCAATTCAGATGGGGCAGGGCTTTTAATGTTGAGACTTTTGTTTTTGTAATCAGGCTCTCAAAAATGATTAAAATAAATTTGGATTTAGATTTACCCGCCAATATATCGGTTATCGGCTTTAAAATATAAAGAATTATCGGTTATCGGTATCGGCCGAATTTTTTTTTTAAATTGCCATTTGAATGGTGCATCCCAATGGCAATTTAAAAAAAAAAAAATGGCCGATACCGATAACCGATAATTATTTATATTTTAAAGCCGATAACCGATATATTGGCGGGTAAATCTAAATCCAAATTTATTTTAATCATTTTTGAGAGCCTGATTACAAAAACAAAAGTCTCAACATTAAAAGCCCTGCCCCAAGCACACAATTTGAATGTTCTCATTATAATGTTATGTAGCCGATATTAAAGAGTTATACTTCACTGTGCTTTCCTTTTTTGAAGAGGTTCATCATATTTCAAGCAATTCAAAACCATCATGATGAACATCTGCATCTGAAGTGTTTCAGCTGAAGGAAATAATACATTATTTATAGTTTTAATATATCAACCAAATTTTCTTTTCAGGCCGATAACGATAACATAAAAAATTATATCGGCCGATAGCGATATGTTGGCCATATATATATCGTGTATCCCTAATAATATATACATTTATCGTGCATCCCTAATAATATATACATAATGTGTATCGGGCCGATCATGTGTTCTGGCACTCAGTCGATCATTACTGCAAAATTATCAACGAAAAGGGGAGTCTTGCATCACTTTATAAAAGCTATAAACCACGATAGACTATAGGCCCTGTTCCACAGACAGGGTTTAGATTAAGCCAGGATTAAGCCTTAGTTCAATTAGGACATTTACCTAGCTTTAATAAACATGCCTTGGAAACAAACATTACTGGCGTGAATCTCAAGACAAAACATTAGCATTGACATATTTTAAGATATGTTGCTTTTGGTTAAAACAGTAGCTCAAACATGCAGTTTAGTCTGGGACTGTGTATGTGAACCCGGGTGTATATGATTTTACCACAATCAAGGGAATTAAGGGAAATCGAGGTTCTATACAATAGGCCTCATGTGGCTTGTTGCTTTTACACTGCAAAAAAAATGCTTTTTAGTACAAATGTCTAAACATCCATAAATCAAGATTAATTCATTTGAGAAGCAAAATGACTTAAAGGGGTCATATAATGCCATTTTTGTACAAGCTAATATGATTCTTTAGGGTCTAAATTAAAAGTTTGTAATATACTTTAATTAAAAATTCTCATTAGTATTGTAAGAAAACACTTATTTTACCTGGTCAAAAACAGCTCTGTTTTCAGCACGCCGTTTCAGTGCATATGCCTTTAAATGATAATGAGCTTTGCTGACTCCGCCCCTCTGTTCTGTGCGTACACGTTTGTAACTCAATAACCATAACGCATTGTTCATTATAAACGTGGGATTATGAATTATATTGAGAACGTCGTACATAGAAAACATGCCGTAATGTACCCTGAGTGTAAACCTTAGACGCATTCATTGTGAAGCGTGCAGCTAGCGATTTGCAAAGATATAAATATTAATATAAAGGTTCATAAAACGTTACACTCACTTCAGTTCTTCTGGAGGTTCAGCAGGAACACGAATATCTGGTACCGATCCTTTTTTCATGAGCAGCTTCTTAGCAAATCCAGCTTTATACTGACCCTCGTTTATAAAGCAGTCTGTTGAGAAATGATTCGCGCAAACATGAGAG